GTGTTACTTTATGATGATGCAGCTTTTCAATATACCAGATTGTCAAGAGTGGTTTTAAACACCGTTTGTCTCTAAAACTTTCATTTGACGGTTTTGTGCGGTCGTTGTGTTGCAAGACGTCATGGTGTTAGAACCTGGAAGTTGCTTAAGTGCTATAAATTACTGTCGGCAGGACTGCTTTGAGCTACAAACACTGCTACTTTGCACGTTTAAGTGTCGTAAACAAGGTTCTGGGGTTCGAGAATTCTCTACGACTGGCCGCTGCACTCTGGATAGCGGGTTCGGATCGCGAGGCATCATCACCCACGAAAGGTAAAACGGGATTTGCAAGGGCTTGTTCTCGCTATGTGGGTCTTTAGGGGAGTTGCTGTTAGCTTCCCAGAACGCAAACTGGTGGGATTTGTTCAAAACTACGATAGCTTTGCTGAATTAAAATGCTTAAATTAAAATTAAAATCGTGAACGTGTTGTATGGACGGACATGTACTGTAGATACGCACATGCTAAAGAATGCGTGAGCAGATGCAATGATCGAAACCGGCCGTCGGTAGTTGATGACTGAGATCCCAACGTTTCCTGTCGACGCTCAAGTGTAGACAAACACAATATGGAACGGTACGTTTTTAAATTACATCTCTTGTTCATAATCCTTATGTTTGCTTCCCCCAAAAGTGTGAATTGGCTTTCATTTAAAAAATAATTTTAAACACACCTCTATAATATTATATAGGCTACTCATTCCTTATTCGCGTTTGAAGTAAAATTTTCACATTTTTGTCGTTGACCTGCATTCATTTGCTTAAGTAAAATCACCCCTTTTGGCCTGGTTGTGTCATTTTCAGATCTTCTAACATGATGAAACAATTCACAGAGTAAAATCATTATCTCGGACTGGGGTTGCCACCATCATTTGGCATCACTTTAAACAAAGTATTTTCTTTCCAAAATTAGTTTGATTGAGAATGGAGCAAGTTTGAATACTCAATTCAAGCAGACATAACTGGGACAGTTAGGATATCATCTTCTTTGAATGTACAACTTAGGAGGTTCTCTTCTTAAGGAGAGGGATTGAAACACTTGCAACAGGTCCTGAATGTGGCTTCATTCCTGTACACAGTGCAACCTCTGCTCGGGTTTAACCAGTTGATTAATTGATGTTACTGTCCTGCCACATTTCTGAAAAATCAGTGCATTTTTAAGAAAAGAAGACCAAGGCCAAGACACTCCTAACCTCATCATGAGCTAGTTACCGAGTCTCTGACATCTTAGAGAAGCTCAATCAAACAATGAACTTGACTTTCTTAGGGCTTGTTTATTCTGTAAACACTAGGATTATTATTGCTCAAGCTGAGCTTTACAGGTGTTTACCTTTCCTTTGTTTACACACAAAGAGTAAAGACCGCAAAACCTCTTCTAAACTGAACGGTCGTGTTCAACTAAAGGAAACTCTAAGGAAGGCGACAGAGTCAACATCACTTTCCAGTCTACAGCAGGACGGCTGTGCATGTATTCGGACAGATTCTGACTCACAACAAAAACAAAGGATGAAGTAGTCTTCATCCTCCTCTGTCCTCCAGTACCTTTGAGTGATATATGCTTTGCACGGGAACTTAGGCATATCTGCCTCATGTATGTTTTTCAGGGCTCTGTATAAAATTCTCTGCTGTTTGTCTTTCTGTTATATGAAGATGTGTAGATTCATAAACAATACTAACACATATACAGGTTCTGACAGAATCCTGAGGAGAAAGAGGCGGGTTTGTGCATTTAACCTCCAATTAATTAAATTAATTGCCCCCTCCTGTCCAATTTTATTAGGCTCTGTAAAAGATTTTTAGAAATTAAACTTTTGTGGTACGAGAAGCAGTGCCATGGTTGCTGAAGACATTTTAAAAAAATCTAAGCGAGTCATTAATAGTTCAGCGCACAATTTACACTTGTAAATGACAGGCACGTTGCATCAGAATAAATATTATCACACATCTCAAGTCTTCCATGAGAGTAACCTCTGTGGGCCCATGCCCCCTTACTAGACCCCTCCTGGACTTATCAAAGTCAAAGAGTAATGCAAGAACAGCCACTGGTGAATTGGAGAAGGCAAGCTGTCTTTCTGAAATGCTAAATTTGTAGCAGAAGCCCAGACGACCCAGATGACACACGGAGTTCTGCCTGAGGTTTTGCTAAATCAAAGCGTTTCCATTAATAAAAGAAGCGGCAGAATCCCCAGGATTTTTTTTTAAATATAAAATCAGCATTATAATCTCATGGTCAGCAGCAACCAGGAATGTGTTGACAGGGGCTACGCTGTGAACTCTAAGGTGAAAATTTAAGAGCCCATTTTCTCACTCCTGGTGAATAATTAAAGAATGTCTAATTCTCCGTGCTTCCTGGGTGTGCAAAATAACCTACTCAGAGTGAGAAATGACACCCTTAGGAGGGTAATCGATTCAATTGGATGATTAATAAATTCCTCCAGTCTGGAGTGGATATTATTCACGTATTTCAGTGGTTTTCATGTTCTTAAGTCCGATTAGCGTTGCGGTTGAGAATGGTAAAACATCGTCTGCGATTCATGAGTGCACATAACTTATGAAAGCACAAATTGCGTTGTCACCTCCTATTAGGAACAACAACCCTGCAGAGACACTGAGAGTGCAGCATTCTTTTATTAATAATGCAGATAAACATGCCAGACTGAGCTCGATCTGCCTTTTCGGCACTTACCTAGATGCTGTTAGTCCTGTCCCAGGCGTTCTGTTTGTTTTAACTGAAGCTGCCTGCTGTGCTTGTTCTCTGATCCTGTATTTACAACTGCTATACACAGCTCAAGTTCCTTAAATTGCACACTGTCAGACATCAGTTCGATTTTTCATTCACAACACAACATGACACATTTAGACAGGAAGCTATGTGGCCCGTTTTGAGTGAGAATAGTTTTTAATCATCATCAGATTGACCCCTTAAACCTGCTCTTCAAGGTCCTCAGTGATTCTGTTTGCACAACCCTTTTTGTAATAGACACCTTCAACTGCCTGTGTAATGAATTAAAGGCTTTGGGGACTGCTTGATTCCCCTTACAGACCCCTTGGTGTAGACTTCTGTGTTGTGTAAAGTAAAGATCCGAGTTGACCCTGATACTGCCATGACAGTCCGGCCGATTGCACCACTGGTCTTGTGTCCCCGCGCAGAAAAAGACTCGTTTTCCTAAATGAAGTATTAACCGCCCCGTATCTAGTTCCCATCGTCAATTAAAACTGAGTTGTCTTGTTACGTCCTTCTGCACTCGTGAAGTGGAAACTGTCTGGGTCCCTGAGTTCTCTCAAAGTTCACTGCTTCATTCACAACTAATTATCTGTCATTAAAAATGAACCATTTGTTACCCATTTATTGTATAGAGTTTGCTGTCTGTCCTGTGTACCACAGGGATGGCCGGCACTGAGCCTGTTCCAGAATGATGATATGTTACTCAGTTCTCCTGCAGCAACAAACTTGGGTTTCTGTCACAGCAGAATTCTTTGCTATCTGTAGCTCACAACGGAGTGACTCGTGCATCTGAGTTTGCCCCTTTTCCTTCTCTAGCTGTGGTTGTGCAAGAACAGAGTTCTAATCCCTGTGTGCTGGAGCTAAATGATATCAAGCAAGAAAACAAACTTTTAGAAAAGCTAATATGTTGATTTATTTTATACAATTTGATGTGGCTGTGATAATTCTTGGTTTAAAACGCAAAAAGATTTTCTGGGACTCAGAACGAAGGTCTCTCAACTGATATGCTCTGATCCAATTGTGTGAATTTAATTCTGAAGGCTGCAGGAAAATTGGATGGTTTTGAAAACTCAAAAACGCGTCTCTTTTATTTTTCTCACCTCTGCATTTGAAAGCCAAATTTCCATGTTATGTGGACAGAATTGATAGTTGCAGCCGCGATTCAAAGAAATGTGCCGCACTGCATTTTGTGTGTGCTGGTTTCCAAAAACCTCATTAATAGAAGTAAAATGTTCCACTCAGTCTAATGTATGCTTCTTGTGTCCGAGGTCCAATTATGCAAACCAGTGGGAATACTCAGAAATAGATTTTCAAAATGCAACAGAACGTTCCTTTCTTTGCTCCAAATGATAAATTCCTCCGCATCCGTTCAGAGTTTTCAAGCTGTGCAGAGCTGAAATGGATTGCATTCTGCACACTGGTTTTAAATATGATAATGCTGGCTGGAGTAAGCCTGTTTACTCTTATACTCTTCTAATCATTTTTCAGCATGTGCATTCTGACTGCCAGCCCCATTTTCTCCAAAGAAACCTGCATTTATGAATAATAATGATGAAAGCTTTTATTCCACCACTAATTCAAGCAAACAGCTTTGGAAGTGAAATACCTGCTCTGACTTTCATGTCTCCTCTTCATTTGACTGGTAATTCCAGGCACTCGCCAGATGTGGATTTTATCTCTGTATTTCACAAGTATGATGCTAAAACGATAATAATAAGTCAAGAAAGGTTTCTCAAACATTATTCTTCAAGGGGAGCATTAAGAAACTATCTGGCATACAAACATGCTCAATTAAATATATACGTATTTAACTGAACTCAAACATTCCTTTCGGGTGTTGGCAATTTCAAATAGTTCCATAAAAGTAGAAATCATTTACCAGTAACTCCCTCCTGGACAGACACTTGTACTGTGTTTCAATTGGGTAAAAACAAAGCAAATGATGTCACTTCTTCAGACGAAAGTTCTGGAACATTCGGGGACTTCCTCCATGCTTTCCTCACATCATGACAGTTGTGATGTTAAAACAGATTGGGGCGTGCTCGGACACCAAACTTTACACTGCTCTTTTCATCACTAGAAGGTCATTACTGTAGGAGCAACTTCAGCATGCCTGTAATCTCCATCCTGATATCTCCAGTATCCCGTGCTGCAGTAGTAGCAGATCTTTGAAATCCCTTTGCTTCTCAGGAATGGATTTTTTTACACACGTCTGAAATATGTTTTATGGATATATGTACAGTAGATACTCCGGTTTCTGAAATTATTCAACCCCCTTAGAGTACCCGACAAAAGTTGATGCACTTGTATTTGTCACAGAAAGGATGATATTACTTGTCAACAAGAACGGGTGTTTTCGTGCTTTTCTAAAAAAAACCAACACATTTGTGCTTCATCCAGCCATGTTACTGTATGTGGTGTCATTTGACTCAGAAGCTAGTTAGTTGCTGTTTGGAAAATTCATGTCTTTATCTGTTTATGTTACCGTGTGACTTAGCCACAGAAACCAGTCATAAGGTCTTGCTCGGTTGTTATTGTTAAAGACACTGCAGTCTTCAATAATTCTAGAGTTCTCTAATATTGCCAGCAGTTGCCCTGGGCCTTTAATGTGCAGAATAAACAGGTGTCTTACAGGGTGTTTTTCTAGTCACTGCTAGAGCTATTGGAATGAATAATCCTTTGTATGAGATCTTTGCCTAACTTTCCCTAAGAGTACATTGTACTGTATTTGTTTTTTTACCTTCTCTTCAGCCTCCTGTAATTCTCAGTCATAATCAAAGTAATTTCCACAATCTTTCTGAGTCTTTTTGAAATTAACAGCATTTACAGTATTTTCAACCTATTTAGACCTATTAGACTATGAACACATTTATACTTTTTATCATTTTTTTTAGTAATATACTCAGTATGGGTAGTTTGATATTTACACGCTCATAATTTGTGCATTTGTTGTTTAACACAAGCCTTGATAACAGGTGCTACTTCTTAGTTAAGGACGAATTAGTTCTGTATTTAGCAAGTTTTGGTGCAGCCAGCACTGGGCACTTCCTTCGGGTTCAAAACAACGAACTCGCAGGAAATGAATGGTATTGCTTGGGTGACACACAGACAGCTGGGCATTCTTTGTCTCCACGTTTTTTCCAGCCACTGTTCATCTCTCTTACTAAATAAATCGAAAAGGTCTCTATTGTTTTAGTCCATATATTTTATAAATATTTCGTTTATGTAAAATCTGAAGCAAAAAAATTCAATCAGATCGGAAATGTGAGGTACCCAGTGTGAATTCGCAGTAAGGACACTCCGCGCAAAAGCCTCGCAAGATAAAACGTTGCTCAAGTCATTGAAAAATACTGATGAACGTCATAATCGTCAGCCTTCACATAACACAAATAAAACAATACATCAAAACTGTCCACAATTAATTAACAACCCAAGTCAGGAAAAAATATGTGTAATGTGACTTACGAGACATAAATGACATTTCCTAAAATGGTCATTGAGTGTGAAAGGACCAGGAATGCCTGCACAGATGTACGGATGCGTTTACATCCCATCTCTACCAACAGTCATCCTAGATTGGATCTATAACAACCCCCCCCATTATAATGGGAAATGTTTATTTTAATTTACAGGATTTTGAGATGTGTGGCACCTCAAATGGATGGTATCCAACTTGTAAACTGAGAACGACCTCTACTCATGTAGCCGCATCAGCGTGTGTAGACTGCAAAGGAACAGATAAAGGTTTATTCCATGCTGAAAAGAAAAAACAGGCAGCTGAAGAAGGCTCTACTGCCGAAACATTGTGTCTCTTTTGTTTTCCTTTCAGCATAGGATAAACATTTGCTTTGAACTTTTAACACAAAATCTTGATGGACACCTACATTTTATTTGCTAAATCAGTTTCTACAGTATGTATGTTTACATACAGTATGTTTCCCCACAGTGACTTAACAAAAGCTTTCACCTTCCTGTCTGAACAGCAGCAGAGTTCCAGCAACTGAGAACCACATCGTTTTCCAGCATTGCAGTGACTACAAAGCTGTTCCTGTGACTTGGAGAACTGCTTTTTTTCCATTCAGTCCGTCTCTGGTCACTAACTCCCTGAACTTGAAAAGGTTAGTAGAACTGTATTAAGTGTATGTTGGAAAGGAATTCAGAGATGCACTTGCTTCCAAAACACCCTCTCTGACATTTTCCTCCCCCTCTAACGGAGCGCAAAACACAATTCATTTTCCAAATCCCTTTGTTTGTTGGACACTACAGTGTCAGTTATCGTTTGCCATTCCTGAGTGCTAAATGAACACACACTCAGATTCAAACAGCAACAGAAAAAATAACAGTATACAATATACACAAAACAGTGTCAAAGAGGTTTTACAAACTTGGTTTGCACTGTTTTAGTTGAAAGGTCTTGGAGGAAAAGACTAAGACAGCAGTGAGGTCACTGAGTTGATAGGCTTCTTGCTCAAGGTTTAAAAGCTTTCAGGGCACCATTTGTATATAAAAAGATCTGTACTCACTTTTCCATTACCACCATTCTAATACAACATTATTTTACAGTGACAGACTGCATTCGCAATCATCATGGCCCATTTATTGAATCCCCCGATGACTTAGAAACAAGTCTGTTTTCTGTTTGAGAACTGTAGGCTTGAAGCGGTTATCATGAATTGAGTTACAAGCTTTGAACTTTCCTTTAAATTATACCTGTGACTACCCATGTCAAAATCAATAAAACTTTCTTCAGACAAAAAGTTCCCACTTTAGAAAAAGCTCCGGTTTGCCAAAAACAGCATTTGGAAATTAGTGCAGGTGTTAAAGACTCCTCACACTATAGTATGTTATGACCATTGATAAACAAATTATTTTTGATAAGATATTTATCAGAATGATTTGATAAGCTGGCCATTGATAAAAACTTGACCCTTGAAATCAGCATCCAGGGTTTTTCCTTCCTCATACCAGGTAACAACGAGTTTCTAAAACGCATGTATTCTTGGGCTAGAAGTTAATGAATACGTACCCTGAGTAAGTAATTCATGAATATGTATTCTGCACAAGGTAATTAACGGATATCATGTTGCATTAATTCAAGGCATGGGCCTAATAAATTAAAGAGAGCACAAAAAATCTGTTTGTAAAGGGCAGTGGCTTATCCTTGTTTTTTAAAGCAGAAGTTTGTGTGATTTCCACACATTTCCACAGTGCGTCAGCTGTATAAAGATATATATAAATGTATATATATAGTTGTACTGTATACAGTATATACAGTATAAAGTCTGTACATGCTGGAAAATGAGCAAAGTGTAAGATCAACAGAGTGAAAAAGGTTTTATTTTGAGATTTTCATATTTGATATTCAATATTTGAAAAATACGAGGATTTCCCATGACCCTTTTCAGTCCTGCATGAATACACACACAAAAAGAAGCAATCTTGACAGAGTTCGATGACTGCTTTTACTTTAGTTTTAGGATCCCGAAGGCTCTAGCACAAGGTTCTTAAAAACCCAGTTTTCAGCTGGGTTTTAACTGGAAACAAGCTGACCCTGGCCTGTGTCCTCCATAAGAAAAAAAAACAAATTTCAAAGATTCTTCTGGTGTTTAAGAAAGCTTTACGCGCAATAAAATGTATTGTTCTTTAAAAACATATCCAGTAGAGCAGTGTTAACAAATTTCTATTGAAGAAAAACTGGTTTCACAATAATTTCTGACCACACATGAGTGGGGATATTTCATAAGACTGAAAACAGCCCACCAAACACAGCTGGCCTAATGGCTCATAAATATCCTAAATATTTTATCATGTAATGTCAAACTATTTTTAATCTGTTTGTTGAGCACTCGGTCTGGAGCTTGGATACCTAGAGAACAGACATTCCCTGTATTTCTTTTACCTTTTACCCAACCCAACGTGAGGATGGACCGTTAAAACTTTCATCATGCAAGTTTAAACATGGTCTGGAAAAGTTTCCACTGACTGTGAAACTGAATAAAAGCTGTGCAAGTTGTAATTCGAAAAGGCCTGACGTGGAACAATCCAGTGAACAACAAGGACAGCACGCAAGAGAGGAGCTGTGGCAAACTGCATTTTAATTTACCCTAAAACTGGATGAAAATGGTGTGAAAAACAACAATGGTGAACAAATACACTCCCCAGACGTACTGTATATGGATTGACCGACAAAGACCAACCTCCCATCTCCTGCAGAACCAAACCTTTTCTCCTTTCCTCCGGAAACTGACCATTTGCAGGAGCCCTTTGGCAGAAGAGGATGCTGACAATGGCCCAACAATTGTCAGCTGTTCCTCATTAGTAAATACCGCATTTATCAATGGGGTACTGACAGTATTGCGTGGCCCTGCAACACTGTCTGGGGTCTGGGAACAGCACTGTGTTTTGAAAGGCTTGGCTCATTCCTGACTGGGGAGATCTGCAGAGTGCAAGACGGCTCTTTACAGTGATTATGGTGATATATTATACTGTATACAAAATCCATTACCATATTTCCCTACTTCCTTCTTGAAAACAGTCCCCAAAGAGCCGTGCCTCTCCTCCATTTCAGTGCACAAGCTTTCTCCCCCCTCGAAAAAAAATACTGTACATTTAACACCTCCTTCTTTTAAATAAACCCGGGATTCGAAGAGCCTCTGTGGTATAGAAAGGAAAAAAAAAATCTTTTGAATCAAATAAATAGGATTGGGGAAACTACGAATGCAGTCCACATGCTGAATAAAACTGCGCCCCGCTTGAGGGATGACTGTAGAGGTGTATGCAGTCCCCCCAAAACACGGATACAGAGGTCAAAGTGATTAGTGAAGAGCTGACAGCCTGTGGTCTTGAAAAAGAGGGACTTGAGGCTAAACAGTTTCTGTTTCTGGCAGCACACAACCCCAAAACCCCCGTCCTTCCAGCCCCCAAAACAAACTGAGACGAAAAACAAAAAGCCAACCACTTAGTGAAAAACGAAACATAAATAGCCAAAAAAGATATATTTAAAGCAGAGGTAATTTGTAAAGGCTGCATATTCCTCTTGGCTGTACTTCACATACTGTCTACGTCACTGTGTTTGGTCGAGGGCTTGGACAACAAACTGATTCGCCGGTCTCCATGGCTACGCACAGGCCTCCTCTCCCGGTGGGCCGGTGGGCCTCTCCTCCCTCCCAGTCCTCCGCCGGCTCCCGCTCCACTCTTCCGTTCTCCTCCTGCTGCCCGGGGCCGAGAGCCAGGGTGGGTGTGGGCTCCAGTGGGGGTAGGCAGAGCTGGGGGAGAAGCTGGCCCTCTCGGACGAGGGTGGCCAGCTCCCTGGCGCTGCAGGAGGGCGTGGGGGTCTCGTAGATGTCGTGGAAGGTGTTGTAGTCGACCTCGTAGAAGCCCTTCTCCAGGGTGAGCACAGGGGTGAAGCGGTAGCCCCACAGCACCTCGGTGTCCTGGTAGGAGCTACGAGCCTGACAGGTCATGCCTGTGAGCGAGAAGGAGGCGCAGGGCATCAGAGCCAGAAGGGACGCCCCACAATTCTTTGAAATGTACAGCCACCCGGATCTTGCGAAAGAAAAATGGGTTTAGCAATTGACACTGTGTCTAAGTGTATGCTTCAAAGGTAACAACAACAAAACAGGTGAGTGTTTTTTTCATAAAAGTTCCTGAATTTTGGAATGGTTTTTTGATTAGACACTAGCCATTTTTAAAATTCTTCAAAGCCACAGTAAGCAGTTCTTGTTTTTCCGAAGAGGTATCAGTTGGCCGACACCAACGGTGTCTAGTCCCGGTTCTGGAGGCCCAGGGTCTGCCAGGATTTCTAAGTCTCTTTAAACCTGCAGGTCGGGAAGAGCTGGGAGAAGCTGTCCAATTGGTCCAGTTCCGCCAATAACCAGCTGGCTCAGCGCCTGAAGAGCTGAGTTGGAATGAAAACCTGGAGGAAGACCAGCTCTCCTGGACCAGGACTGGACCACCCCCGTTTAACACATTTAGAAAACTGAGGATCATGCTACACCAAAGGTACTTTGCAGGGTCTATAAAATATTGGATTTCACCTCTGGCTAAAACCTGCAAATGGTTTTGTTTCGACCCAAAATCTGGTTGGTGTATTGACATTTGGACATCATGTTGGTCCAAAAAATGTTGCTTACTTCTCATGGAAGGCCGGTTTCTAAATAAAACTGGATTATCATGCTTCAGCGTTTGAGAAGCCAAGTTCCCGCAAAGACGAAACCTACCTGTTTTCAGATGAGGCCTAGTGAAAAATGCGATCTGTAAATGAACTTTCTGAGATCAAAACACCTGGAAGTCAAACGGTCTAACGGCTTCTGTCATATCCTGCGGGACACCATTAATATGCAATGATTGAAGCCATTTAAAAAACATTTCTTCCTCTTTTCCTACATATTTAACTGACAAATATTCTCTAACATAATCAAATAGAAAGAGGATGCCTTAACTTGCTAAGCTGGCTTGTCAATGTTTTTTTCTCCCTGGAGTAGGCCTAATTAAACAGGTGAAAACAAATCGCTCCTTGGTTCCTTCTGAATTTTGCTTTGCACACAGTGCAGACTCAGGACTTCACCCAGCTCTCCAGGGGGGAGGAAGAAAGCACAAGACAGCCCACAGAATGAAATGAGCAAGCGGAAATGAACCTGCAGTGATAACCCAGTGCACAGGGGTGTGGAGTGAATGGCCAACAGACAAGCAGATCTTGAACGTCTGTGCATGTACAGTAGGTGCAAATTCTTTTCCAGATCTTCTTTTTAAAAAACTATACTTCTGCGCTTGGCCTTTCTGCAACATCTCTTTGAATTTTTACCAAATCAAAGAAAATGTGCTCAAAGAGAAGACAGCGCCTCTTACAGTGGTCTGTATCTCAGACACACAAAGGCGTGATTCTGGCACAATTTGGTTCACACCCAGGGATCCAAGTTTTGAAATTCTAATACCTGCAAACATGCTAAAGGTGTACCAGACCTAATGGGCTCTATTTCACTCTAGCATAATTAGAAATAACTGGTGCAAGCTTGAAGACATTAGAGCTGGGAGCCAAATAAAGATTAATTGCAATTCCGGGCTGAAAAGTAGAAAGCAGAAATACAATATTTCTGTAGCTGAGCTTTCTTCGGTTGGCTGGCTTGTTTGCCAATTGATCCAAGGACCCCTTGACTTGTGTCCTGAGGTACATGTCTCACTGTTAACATCAAGAAGTCCATCGGGTCCGTTGTCAGATAACATCAAGTCCAAAACACTTCCTGAATGGAATGGACTTTCAAAAGGAACTTGTAGCCCCGAATCATGTTCACACAAAACTGAAAATCTGTGTGCTTACTAGGGCTCAGATGCCAAATGCTGATCCAAAGATCTCACTAAACATCAGGACCACTGGTAACTTTCCACTCAATCCTTCTAGACCGAAACATCAAGAGCCTTTATCTCTTTCACTATCTGAATGCAGTTTCGTTTTTGGACTATTCATTTTAATAACCGTGAAAGAAGTACAGCCATGTACTGTAAGTAAATGGCACAACACTAAGAGGAATTTCTGTAAAATAGAGCTTTTTTTCTGGTTCAGGCCTTTCCTGGAGTACATATACACATTGACAGGCATATAAAGAAACAGAGGGAAAACTCTTTGAAGAAAATGCATTAGCACTTCAACATTAGATTTTCACAGGCATATACGAGTAAAGTTTTTTTTTAATTTACTTGCAAGGCTTAGTTTTCCAGATCCTGTAGGAATAATTATGGGGTAAAAAAACTACTAGCAAGGAGATTGTGTTGCTCTCTGAAACGGATTTTATTTCTATATCAATTTGCATTCATTTTTTTGAAATAGCATAATGTCTAAAAATGTGGACTTCAGAGCAATTTCATAGTCCCCGGATACTTTGCTTCTATCCTTTCAATGAAAAAAGAAGAGAACATTGCAGAGCTTTCTTGAGTGTAGTGCGCTACAAAAACTCTTGGCTATTACAGAAATGTTTTATCTTTCAGATTGCTTTTTCGATTATTTTAGTTCTGTATATATGAGAGAGAAAGAGCTATAGAATATAAAAAATGGATTAGGAGGAAATTTAAAATGCAGCACATTCACAATATGGTACAGTACCTGTGACATGCTACAGATACAAATGATATTCTGTATTTCCTTGAAGTTTCATATATTTCTGTGGATATTGCACCCAATTTGTGCATATAAGAATGGATACCAACAACAGGCGGCCGATCAGCCTATTTGGTAGTACTGTAGCAAGAATCTTGTCCATCAAATTGTTAAAAAAAACAAGGTATAAGCTTCTATGACATACAGTACCTGGGTAGTCCGTTCCATACCCCCACAAAGTCTTGTGTATATATGACGAAGAAGAAATATTATTCATTGCTTTAAACACCCCTATGTCAGAGTCCACAAGAAATCTGAGAAGTAGAAATTGTCAGTATAAAAAGGGCTTTTCGGTTCTGGTTGGCAAGCATGGATTGGAATGGCCTTTTAAGTGACTTGCTTTGCAGCAGCATTGGAAAAAGGGGGCATCATTTCAGGGGAGTGAGGGTGCCTAACCTGCAAAGGAAGAGGAGATTTTAAGAACATACACTATAAAACGCCTCTCCAAGTTTAGGCGAGCAGTTGTCACGAAAGGCAAAGCATTCACACAAACCTCATGAGGACAGCAGGTCAATTTATTTAAGCTCTAATTTAAATGGGGGCGCAGGGGAAGTAACGTCCTCCTACAGCCAGGGAAGCCTTCATTTAGTGTGCCTCCATGGCTTTTAATAAACAGACTGCTCTTCTCTATTACCAAACAGAAAACTGCAGAAATAGAGTAGCTAAAACTTCATTTAACAGGATAACTGCTGTTTGTTAATCTGTATTTATTGGAATACAGTGTATTAACTACTGCAAAGTTTCTGGAACACGCTTTCAATATAGCATGTGACAATTAAAATATCCTAGTAGAATAAAACACACTGAGTTATATTAATAATCATGCTAATTTATACTAGCGTCTAGAGCTGTATACAAGAGTCCACAAAGGCAAAAAAAAGAAAACCTCACTGTTTTCACCGGCACGCAACAGCAACAAGAGCAAGAGAGCAGCGAGTTCAGTGGAAAATAACAGGTCTGAGTCGCATTCCTGCCCAGGAGTGCAGGAGTGCAGGAGTTCGCGATGGTTCAGCGGTCGCCGAGCTACGTGCTGCCGGGCTGCCCCCCCCCCTGTATTTAGAAACTGTTCCAGCACTCTGCGACGCGCTTTCTCCTCCGGGATAGGCGGGGCAGGCTCTTGAGAGGGCCCCATGGGCGCGGGGGTGTGTAGAAAGGTCGATCTGACGCTAGGGCAAGGCCATGAGAGCCTCCCTGAGGTACTGAGCCATCGGCTTAGCTTCTACTGGGACACTGTAGAAATCTGGCTCTGGCCTGGGGTCATCGACCGGGTCTCTTGACCTGGGATTAGCAAAATCTGAGCCGACACCTGCTGTTGCGCGTGACACCACAGACATAGCTGAAAGGTGGGATGACATCATCAAGAATAGCCACTGGACCATAACTAGACTGGAGACTCCTCAAATCCCATTCATACAAATGGCTAAAATGCAATTCGGGGGGCACTGTGGGAAATGCACCTCGTGTGTGTCTCCTTCAGTGTTCTCCAGAAGTGGCCATTCTTGCTACAATTAAACTCGCTCAAACCTTCACCGGACGGCGCTGTGACTCCTTGCATCCCTACAGCATCTAACATCTCGCCACTGTACCGCTAAACCAGCCACTTCTTTTTTATGCAGTAGCATGACGATGGTCCGTCTTCCGGCAAACAGAGTTGGCCGTTCTCATTTTCTAGTTCTTGCCCCGGTGCCCCGAAGGAAGGCTCAGCATTGCGTTTTTTCCCCTGCTTTCCGCTGCGCAGTGGGGAATGCACTGTTAGCTGCTCCACACACGCAGTGCGGCACAGTAAAGCAGAGTGTTGGGGGGCCTGTCGCGCCTGCAGCTCTCATCAGGGAAGTGGAGCAATAGGACTCCCTGACCAACGCTGTCCGGGAATTTTCAAGGAATGTTTTTAGGGGATTCTGGCACGGATAAGCTTCTAGCAACCAAACAAGAGCAAGAGCAGCCTCTTCTCTATGAATGGAGCTTTCCAACGTTCTGAGGTGGAATTAATCCCGTTCCTCCTTGTCCCAGAACTTCAAACAGTAGGTGGACACCAATGTTTTTAAACAGTACTGGAATGCTGCTGGCCCAGATGTTGAAGTGACTTGTTTTTCTGGGTACCCATACAGGCTTTTTCAATGACTGTGTTATCTTTAGAGAGTACTGATGAGCCACAGCCTAACCTGACAGACACAGACAGGGCACGAGGAGGGACCACACACAAGAGTAGGATGCCAGTCCACCACAGAATTATAAACTAGAAGCCATAAAACAAAAAAATGACTTCCTTTATGGGTATATTTGTATAAAGAATAATACTACTTTAAAAGATTGAAATTGAAACCATCATGATTGCCTCCGTACTTCAGAGGGGTATTTGCAGTGTGTGGCCACAGGCAAAAGGCTGCTGTTAAAAAGGGAAATCAATGATTCTTCATGGAACTACTGTAATTGGGCTTTCTTTTTTTAAAAAAAATAACGGGCACACAGATAAAATGTCTCTGTGAAGATTGCTGATATGAATAAAACATTGGGCATTCTCTAATTTATAAATATATAATAAGCTTAACATATTTAAGAAACATAAATATGCTATTTAAAAATACAGACCCAGCGTTTAATTGTTCCTTTTCCATTTCCGTCTTTAAAAGGCCTGATTTCAAACTCAGGAAGAAGGCATTAAAAGGATGGATTTGCATTATTTAAATATGATTCCTTCTATCGTGTCTCCTACCCTTTGACTCTGTTTCATTTGCCCAGTTGAAAAATTGACATTTCGCCTGTACACACCACTTCAGAGTTGAAAAAACGGTGTGTGTGTATTTGGGGGGGGAGGTTAGCAATTAACTCTCGTGGTTAAGCCCGTAAATGTGTTTTTATTCTCTAGGCTCCTCTGACACAAATACCCAGATTTTTCAATCAATACCACACAAGGACCCTGAGAAGCTAGCTAGCCTCGGTGTTAGATTCAGGTGGCCGGATAATCAATCCGGGATCCTTGAGGTCTGTTTATAGGAGTGAAAACCGGCTGCTCTGTCATTAATCACATTATTTTACTGGGCTGTAACTAATGGCACCACTCAACACAATACTCTCTCTTTCCCACCTGCACACGCATACCAACCCAAAACTTGTCTTCCTGCCACTGCGGCGACTCTTTATTGATTCTCATTTCATTTTTATATACGGTTTCAAACTCCCCTCTAAACTTCACACAGGGTCAAGAGTGGGCCAGAAACAAACATCTCTGTCACGTTTAGATTTCAAAGAAAAAAGTAGGTTGGTTTATGCAAAAGATCGCTTTAAATTGTAGGGGATCTGTTGGCCCCAAAGATCCGACCATTGTGGGGACAGGTGCCCCAATATGGTTCCACATTGACAAAAATACAGTAGATGACTCCCCTCCCATGTGCATACAAACAGACAGGTTTGACTTTGGAACCATTCACCGTGTCACACCTCAAGCGCAAATGTCCAAGGAACCACAAGACATGCATCTATACAAAAATACTGTATAGAAATGTCATTCATGATTTTAATAGCACTTTCTATCAGTGACATTGTTTTAAGACCCAAGATGAAATGCACTTAAAATGCACTCTTTTTTCATCAGCAGAGGATACCCCACCCGTGTTCCTGACAGGGCCCTCACCCAAGCCAAAAACAGCCCTAGCACCTTTCGACACAATCAGAAATTCCCATGTTAACAACTGCATTTCTTTGGTGCTTCCCTTCCACCCTAACACACTTTCTATCCCCAGGGCCATTAACGACAACTTTTCCATCCAACAGGCTGATCCCTCCACTGGGACCCTCTTTTCTAACTGCCCCATCATCTCATATCGCCGACCATCTAATCTGCGTAACCTTCTTGTTCACAGCTCCCTTGACCGCCCTCAGCAATTATCCACACCAGGCACCTTCCCCTGCAACAGAGCTCGCTGCTTCACTTGCAAGTACATATCTAAGACCACACTCATTCAAGGCCCCTCGGGACAATTCTGGATCACTTAAATGACATCTGCAACCTTATTTACTGTATCTCTTGCAGAAAATGCCCAGACTTCTACATTGGATAAACAGGAGACTTGGAGACCGTTTCAGAGAACATGTCAGGGTTGTGAAGATGAAAGATTTCTCCAAGCCCATAGTTTCTCATTTCAGCTCTGACGGCCATGATCACACTGATCACTCCGTCTGCATTCTCAAAGGATTTCTTCATTCCTATAGCAGAAAGACATCAGAAACTAAAATTATCCTCAAACTTGGTTCACACCTTCCCCCCTTCTCTCAACGACAGACTTGTTTTCTTCTAATCCTCTCTCTTCATTTTTAGGTTTCGACTGCACATCCGTCTTCCCCACTCAACTTCGCCCACCCGAGTGCCCATTCTCCCTCTCTCCTGCTCCCACCTCCTTTTGTTCTCCTGTACTTTAGAATTTTTGCTGTCTGCCCTGTCTTCCTCACACCCGAAGAAGGCTCCACAGCCGAAACCTTGTGTTTCCTTTCTTCTCTTTTCAACATGGAATAAACCTTTACTTGTTCCCTGAGACCCGAGATGTTCTACATCCCAAACCGAACACACACAAGTGCTGCTGCTTGGCATCTCCTTGCTGCCTCAGTGCACATGTGCTCGCTCGTGGTTGGACTTCACTGCTGGGGCTCAATGGTAAATGACCCAGGGCGCTTCTCTCACAGCTAAAGCAGTCTTTGGAAAATGTGAATATGTTGTTGTTTAGCCAACAAATCTTGTGTTTGCCCATGAAGAAAGACTAGTTTTCAAAATACCAGAGAGATATTTTACTAAACTAACCGATGCAACAGAAAAATGGAATTCATCATTACACAAACACAAAGTTGGCAAGGTCTGCGTGTTTGTGCAGGGTGACAAGGGCTGTTATCGCTGGAAAAAAAGACAAACACAAACCCATCTCTTCATAACACTACTGTATGTATTCTTAGCTTTTGAGTGTTAACATACTTTTAAAAAATACAAGCCCAATAAGATGGAAAGGTACTGTAAATGTGCTCGTGAAGGTTTACGTTATCACAAGTAAGATTAGCATCCTACCTGTGGTCATCTGGCACAAAATAACACTGAACACAGCACTGTGGCATGAGCTGTTGCGGGAATCATGCCTTAGCAGGAAGATAACCAACAGCCTGCCCCAGAAGTGATGGATGAAAGGCAGGAGTATGTCTCTGGACAGGATGCCAGTTCATTGCAGGATCTGCACAAACACCCACCAGACAATTTCTAATCATCAGTTAACCTAGCCATTTTATCTTTAAGAGGTAGTAGGAAACCAGAGTTTCTGGCGAACAAATCCAGGTGGATACAGGGAGAAATCCAAAAAGTCAATACAAACGACAGTCGGTAATTAAGAGGTATGAGGCGGCAGTGCTGCGTCTCAGTGCCAGTCTTTACATAACACCTTCTCTCTAGATAAATGAAACTGAAAAATGGAAAAATCAATAAAGAGGAAATTTTACCTGTGGCCTCCACCATGCCTTCTAGGATGACGACAATTTCAAACTCTTCCTTTTCCATCTGGGCCTTGGAGAGCTCCCAGAATGGGCTCTTCTCGTTGATCTCGTGTGAGATGATGAGGGGAGATACCAGGAACAGGCGGTCGTCCCCAGTGTCGAAGCCCACGTTGATGTCTGTCTGGTTGAGAGGGATGAACTCACCTTCCTTGGTCTGCTTGGATTTGATGAGCTTGGCCCGAATGGAGGCCTCGACGATGTGCGAATTTCGGAGGTCCCCCACCCTGAACATGAGGCACAACTTGTCATCCCGCACCGATATGACCGCTTTGTGGGAGAACATGAGGGTTTCCGCCCTCTTCTTGGGCTGCGAGATTTTCACAAACATGCAGCCCACCATCAGCGCATTGACAATGGATCCCAGGATGGCCTGGACCAACAGGAGGATGATCCCCTCCGGGCAGTTCTCCGTGATCACCCTGTAGCCATACCCAATGGTGGTCTCTGTCTCTATGGAGAAGAGGAAGGCGGACACAAAGCTGTTGAGGTTCTCCACACAGGGAGTCCAGCCTTGCTCATCACCGTGCTCAAGGTCTCCACGGATGTAGGCGATGAGCCACCAGATGAAGCCGAAGAACAGCCAAGTTACGCAATAGACTAGGGTGAAGATGAAAAGGCTGAAGCGCCATTTGAGGTCCACCAGGGTGGTGAAGAGGTCACTGAAATACCGGTAGGTCTCTTGCACGTTGCCGTGGTGCACATTGCACTTGCCGTCCTTCTGAACGTAGCGCTGCCTGGGCTTCTTGACTGCCTCGGCTATCAGATGGGTCCTGTCCGTGGAGACGTGGGCCAGGCCTTCTCTAGCTCGCCTGGGAAGCTTCTTAACCTGGAGGGGGATTCAGAAAACAAAAAAAATGAGGCACGTAAGTTCAGAGGCAATTCTGCTTCTACGTACAACAGCCTTGCACAGCTGTCAAATCTGAAGCATTTTACGGAAAGCAGAAGGGTTATCCTTGCATTTATACAGCTGCAAGTGTTTGGCAGCCTGTGAAAACTCAAACGTCCAGATTTTTAGCAATATTAAGCAGCGATATTTTGCTGGACAATTTCCCTGGGACTACCAGGTGTTTTCCAGCACAACCCTCATTGATCATCCAAACTAGAAATGTAGAACACTAAGAGAACTCGCATTATCTGCCAGCATTACATTTGTCTTCTTTACAAGTTATCATGAAGATAAATTCCTATACCCTTGTGACTGGACTGTGCAGAATAAAAAAAAAAGAATCCTCTTTATTTCAGCCAGGCCTTTACTGCTTAAAAACAACAGCAGAAAGAACTCAAATCAGAGTCATGGCTTTATCAGAGTGATGCATCTTACTGTAAACATGTAACTGGGTCCCCCAAAGAATAAAGTAGGACATGAGGGGATAGTGTTTCCCAAAACCCTGGAGAGAGAGGCTGTTTCTGCAGATGGTACTGTGCCCTCGGTGTTTTTCTACTCTCACTGGAATATGGGCACGCCTGGCTGGTCTTAGCATCAAATCGTACCCACAGAGGTCACCGTGAGGCAGCTCAGGATGTCTGTCAGCCTCGTGGAAATAAGTCAGACATCAGACAACACAGTGGGTCATGACTCTCTGAAAGAGGCTTTCTTTTTCCATCCTCACACATGTGACAACAACAACAAATGCGATAACTCAACAAGTGTTGAACCTCAACATCTCCACAAAAAGGTTAGCAAGGTTAAGGTATGTCAGACCTAGTCTATATGTGGTCACTTTAGGCACAGATCTGAGAAAACAAGGGGACTGAAACGCTAAGACTTTTTTTCCAAAGCCTACCAAATAAAACCACTTTGGATTAAATTTATCCTGATATGACAATAGCTCAGCAGCTGTATGCAAAATAAACATGCTATATCACTGAAATGCACAGTAACAAGATTTATATATGAGAATACTCTAACTTTTACTGGAAACATGCCAATTGCTTTGTTAATATATTCCAGACTATAAAAACATTTCTAATCTTTAATCTAAACATTTTTCTTTTTTGATTTCTAAACTAAGGTACACTTCCATTTGAAAATCATTTATTTTGAGTAACTTTCTGATCAGCGTGTTCTTGGTATTCCAACCCTGGTATCTTTTTGGTACATAGTAATCTTAGCGAATGGATGTTTCCATGAGTGTCTTGTAATAAGTTATTGAAAAATTAGAATGAAAAAGTATTATAATCATAAATACATTATAATGAAATGTATTAATGATATAATATAAATACAGATGGTATATGAATACAAACGTATGCATTAAGTTATTGAAAAAATAGTAATAACTTATTGTAATCGGTTATTTATAAATTGTACATATTGTGAGTGAAAAACTGGTTTTACAGTCTTATTAATGGCAAACCTCACCTCTCGGGGAGCCACTCCTATCTCCATGTCATGGTCCATGTGAACCCGCAAGTCTCCTGCCATTTTCATCTGCAATCACAGACCTAGAAAAGATGCCAACAGGCAGTCAGTCACCAGCTGTCCTCTAACCCTTATGCCTTTGTACGGTTGATCTGAGGGGGCAAATGAGGACCAAAAATGAAGGTCTGTTGGAAAATGAAAGGATGTTCTGCCCAGATGATTTTTTAAATTTAATTTGATTTTGTCTTTTAGAACACCGCACATCGACTGTCGCCGTTTCACAGTTGACAGCAGTTCCCCTTGGGAGCCGAGCACATCCAGTGCGCACGTGGTTGTGACCAATCGCTAACAACCCTGCAATTAGGGCGACTTACTTTCACCCCTCTCCACACACACACACACCTCGAAAAAGTACAAACTTTAATCGGAGGTAATTCAGCACTAAAACCAAATGATGCAGATGAGACCATCTGGAGTGCTCTATCTGGGAGGAGGACAAGTGAAGCCTTGCAAGGCATTCCCTGCCAGGCAAAGAGTATTACATCACAAAGGCACTGTGTTCAGATGTGCAGAACCGGAGAACAGCAACAACCAAGTTCCTAAACTCTACCTGCTGTCATTTCACCATGAATTCTCGGCTGAGGTTTACCTACCGCTCTGTGGGTCAATGTTACAGCAGCAGACGTGTGCTTAATAATAATGTGCATTTTTACATTTTTTAATTGAGCCCCTTTGTCTTTTAACAGCTGTCCCTGGGTTCTGTTCCGAACGCCTGTCTTGGAAGCGTCGCATCTTCTCCATGCGGATAAAAAAAAAAAGGAGTGTTGGGCCAGAGAGACAGACTCCTAGCTCAGGTTAGCGACCCCTCTGTTAAGGTGGCATTGAACTTGAACTTGAACTTGAACTTTATTGCCATATGTAACCGGTACTGGTACAATGGAATTCTTACTTACAGAAAGTCTCTCGATTGTAAAACAAGTGTAAAAAAACAAAACAAAGTGCAAACAGTGCATCAAGACAATGTACAAACAAACAATAGACAATGTGCAAGTAAACATGCAGGCAGTTTGAATGTAAACAATACAGACGTGTAAACAATGACTGGAGACGTACAATAAATAAATTACAATGAGGTAGATGGTGATGGTGTGGGTGTGGTCCGAGGGGGGTGGCTAAATGTGTTCGCCAGTCTCACTGCTTGTGGATAGAAGCTATTGAAGAATCTAGTGGTAAGTGTCCGTATGCTCTTATATCTCTTGCCTGAGGGCAGTGGGGTGAAGAGCTCATGCCCTGGGTGGTGACTGTCCTCTGTGATGGCCAGAATTGGGAGTATTCCTACGGGTACCTGAACACGTGAACAGTCCCTTTCAGAGGGAGAGATGGGTCGAAGGAGAAGGGCCTACAAATATCTGGTGTCTCACTGCAACACAGTGCATCATCGCTGGTTCCCGTTTCATGAATGTATTTTGGAATCATGCATGCCTGTGTTTCTGATTTCCTGATCGGGCGCTGGCTGTGTCTTGCCTCAAAGTGGCCTGCGCAAAAGGTCCACACGGTCACACACGCACTCACCCATTTCCTAACTTCCTTTGCGACAAGGAGCAGGAATTTCTTTTAGATAGCAGGTTTTTAAAAAACGAATCAGATACTTATCTTGGTGTGCTAAGAACGTAGCAAGCATTTATCTTGGGGCTGAAAGACAAGACAGGATGTTGCAGCAGTGGCGTACTGGGGCACCCAGATAACACTGCGAATCTATTTCACCCAGCATGCTATGTTTTGAGCGAATGGAGCAGCAAAGCACTGTCTGGAAATCAAATCTGATTTCCTGTGAACTCCTCTGGTCCTATAACAGGCTCCCCAAAGCTGCCTGTTGCTGATAAAAAATAAACGGTGCAATATGTAATAGATATATAGATTTTCAATCTATATTTGATCTGTACAATCGCTTTCCAGTTAGACAGTTCCAGAGACTTTCCTTATTACAGAGTTCTAAAACATCTTGTCACGTGACAGCTTGCACGCTTTTCATTTTGTTTAGGGTTTATTTTTTAAAATCGCCTTTTATTTTCAAATTAGCGTTGCACATCTGTTCTCATGGCCTCGATTATCTAGCACTCTCTTTGGCACATATTATGACGGCCACTACTGACATCTAATCTATTGTACAGCTGGTATTATGTTTATTATTATTAGCTTCTTCACGTTGACCTGTTAAACATGTTATTTCTTTCAATTAAGCCATTTAATCACACTGCACTGCAACCCACAGCCCTCCACCAAGTTTGTCGCCCCAATCTTCACAGCGCTAGCAAAACTGGGGAAAAAAAATGGCGTTCTGCTGCTCGTCTTTAAAACAAAGCAAGACCTAAGGGGATCTCTGGTTGGATAAGAGGATACAAATCAGCATCATTAAGCCCATGTTTAATAGTTAGGAAGGGCACACGAACACAAGGCTCCTTACTAGACTGAAAGGAATACAGGTTCTGCGACTCTTTCCAGCACGACTGGGACTGTGGACAGGGGTCGAGGTCCAAACTTTTTATTAGGCTAATCACACGGTAGGCACACCACTAGAATATCACCCCCCCGCCCTCCTGCCTTTTCACTTTGCTGAACAAATGTCAGTGTCACTCGCTGCATCTTGGCAAGTGGGCTGCATAGCCACACTTCAGTCCTATCTCTTGTCAGTCAAGACACCTGAAGGTCACTCGGAGCAAATAACTTAAAATTTCCCAAAGCCAGCACCAACTTTGGTATCCTTCTGAAATGATTTTTTTTTTCCAAGGCCGACGGCAAACTCTTTCAGTTTCAGAAAATGCAAGGGATCATCTCCAATGCAGGACGACGCTTTCCAAGACAGCCTTATCATATTCTGACTGGACAGACCTGTTTAGCCCAAAAGCAAATAGCATGGGCCTTGTAATCAGCAGTATTTGCTATATATAGGAATAGGAACATTAGTATTCTCAGTTCATTCCAATCCATTGTGACACAAATGCTGACCAGACATTTTTAAACAACCTGGGTGGTGCGTTCACAGCTAATTTAACATAAATTAAAAGATTGATTGAGAAGTAATGGGGGACCCATTGAGACCCGTTGATGTCTTTGAGGTCTGCCTTCATGAAGACAGAGGGCGAAACATTTCAAACCCCTTATCGAGTCGCTGTTAGCTCATTACCTTGATTTATGATTGGGAGGTGAAAGCAATGCATCACAATTTTCTAATCCAAGCCTCGCTGTTCAATCACTGTCTGCCAGAATGAGGCTTTTACAACAAGGACTGATACTCAAGCAAACACTGTGTATGAGCAAGAGGCCTCAGCACTTAAATAAGATTTAGCAAAAGAATGATACAGCATAGCATGACACTTTAGAATCCTTTAGCACTGCCACGCAGTACTAAATTGGGTCTTTTCCAAGGCAACCAGGTAATTCAATCAGCCCTTGTAAACAGCAGTGTTAAATAACAGGAAAGACTCCTTCTTTAATTGAGCTAAACTGGAAAGCAGCCATAATTTATTGAAAGGAGGTTTGATTAACTCCTTTAAGGACATTAAGGAAGTTAATGTACATGGTAGCTGTGTACTTTGGCATGATTTCAACATGCTGAAACTATGCTTTTCCACTGTTTTGTCTCTCTGTGCCCTGCTTCACCAGGTTTATCTGTGCTTTATTGCAGCTAGCCACAGCAAACCTTCAGAAGGCTTCAGGAAGCTCTGATTAGTGCACTGAGACCACAGGTTCTTAATCAGCAGCTCATCGCTGCGTTGCTCAATGTGCACTACAATGCAGGAGCCCTCCTGAGTGCATCTTTTTAATTAAAAGCAGCATATGCAAAATGAACAAAGACACCGTTTAATTCACGTTTCATTTGAGTTTCTCCGGCTACTGGTTTTGAAATATTTGTGGAACCGAAAGACAATGACACCTGTGAGCACTGTACCAAAGGTTTCATTTTGTTTTTTTCTGCTTCTTTGCGGTTATTTGTAGGCTTTCCTCACACCCTCAGCCAGACTCTTCTGCTCAGGAATCGGGAGTATGACAGGGAGAGAGCAAAACGTAATGCCCAGGGGGTGCGTAAGCCCACCTTTCCAGCACCTCTGACAGCTGTGTCTCCTTCAAGCCCTTCAGCTGTCTTGCCCCTGAATGAGATGAGGGGACTGAGCCTCAATAATGCAGGTCCCTCCTTATGCAGTGGTAAGAGTCCTGGGGGAGAGATGACCCACACATGCGAAGTAAAAGGCTTTTACTCCTCTTCATTCGGGAAAGAGAAGTGTTCACTTATTTAGGACACAAGCCTGACTAGAAACAGTGACGACAACAAGGCAGTGGGATACAGTCTAAAATCTAAACACTAAAGCTGCTTATACATTCAAAGAACAGCAAGAGATATTTCCTTAATTCTCTCTTTCACCTCTGGCGATCGCTGTGGTATTATGTGGCTGCTGGTGCACCTAGCTAACAATGTGTCATTTTTGCTTCATGTGAGCTCAGAATTTCTAAGGTGGACTTTCTTCCCCGATGGAAAAAGGTTAAGGAAAAAAAGCACTCATTTCAGATACACGCTGATCTCCATATCAATAGGTAACGCAGAAAGAAAGAGAGACGCCATTTGAAAAGCTGTCAGCAGTTTTACAGTATTTCATCAGCTTTTCTGATCTAGAAAAAAGAATTATATGCTGTGTCGAGAACAACGTCAAGAGAAAGTCTTAATATAGAAGACGTAAGTTCCGATCAAACTGTACAAAGGCAATAGTTTAAAATAGAATATGATAAAGTATGGTAAAATACAGTTCCACTATCATTAATGGAAATCTTTCATCTTAGATTGCTCTTCTGTCATAGTGTGCTATGAAGGTACAATCAATGTAGTCACCTCTGCCAGTTTTCAGAAACGTAGAAATATCTTCAATTGCGAAAGCTTGCAGAAACTCAGAGCTAATCTTCCATGCATAGCCATTATCACAGGTCAGTTACCACGCAGTCAGCCTAAAAACTACTACGAAAGATTAACAGCGGAAGAACTCAGGGCAGGATTTTAAGGAGCAGAAAAAAAATAGCAGATCTGTAATTTATTCCACAGGGATAAATGAGCCTCTGACCAGAATGTACTGTTGCAAAAAAAAACCTGTACCACTTTAAAACAGACGTACGCTTTCCCTGGTGCGTCCTTCTTATCAACTAAATATCTTCAATTAATAATTTATGAAATAATCTGATTTTCGTTCCCCTTTTAGAGCTGTTCCTTTTTGCTTGCAGAACAGGCTGGGCACTGTGTGTTCTTAACCTGAAAAATCACATTAATATCTGTTCCCCGCAACATGGAACTTCAATTTTACGGGAGACAAATCCCTTTTTAAATTAAGTTGCTTTAACTGTAACACAATTTATGGTCAAGAGGAATGGCCTTATGTTGCCATAAGCTGCTTCTGTGCTACTTTAAATTGTGGTCCATTGACTTAGTGGTCAATATGGGTTGTGCTCTTCCCAAGCAGTCGAGAATCCTTATCGTTTGTTTAAATCTACCGTTACAAATGAGGAATACAATGACTTTGAAAGCACACACTGACTAAAGCTCTTTATAAGAATGAGTTCATTAAATTCTGCTCTTCAGCTCAACTCAGATGGGCTTCGCTGACACAAAACAAAAATGACTTCTGAATAACCGACATGATATCATACTTCGACCAAGAGAGGGTTAAAAGACGAACGACTGCAGTTTGAAATATGTCCCGAGAGACTGCTAGTACAGTATGTACAGCGTAAAATTATTACTTTCGGAGCTGCAAAACAGGACGAATAATGACAATTTGCTTTTCCTGTAAGATAAGAGATGTCTTTTTCTTCTCTCTTTATACATGATAACAACATCCGCTTAAAAGTGGCTCAAATGAATTATGTATGATTGTGAAAAGAGATCTGATGTGAAATCCAATGTGCTCTGAAAAAGAACATTAACATTAAAACATATATACTGTATATTCTAATTTTCCTGTTTATAATGCTGGATTTAGATTTGTAATACATAAAGACACTGCCTAGTTCTTCATTAAGGAGGTATTTTATGAATTTACACTTTTTCCCTTAAGAGGTCCTTTGTAAAGGTTAACTATGGCAAATGCACAATACAGTGTAGTAAATCCCAGTGAAATCATGGTCAAGTCAAAAGACATGCAAGTACAGCCCTGTACGATCACATTAATATTGTAGAATTGCCACGTAAATTCACTGCGGTAAACTTTCAAAAGGTAAAGTTGAAGGACGCACGCCCCACCAGCCCTACTGAGCTACAACTGCATCACAAGGGAAAAAGATGTATTTAATAAGGTTTAAATACCTTTACAATGCTAACTTCCAAGATGTATATATAGATTATTTTCAACTGAGCCCCCTCAATGAAGTGTTAGATGTTCCACAAAGCACTCTTCGATATCAAGAAAGAAAGGAAGGCACATTTATACGGTAACAGCAAGAAGCATTAGAATATCCCATCTGGACATGTGTCTCTGCTTCTTTTTCATCTTCAAAAACGGGGCTACTTTTCTGTCCTGGAGCTGAGCGCCGTTTCCCTACGTACCCTGCACGGTGCAAGACAAGTCGAGGCACCGCATGTGGGGAACAGAGACGCACTCTTTCTCTGACCGGGGGCAGCTGAGTCGCCCAGGGCTTACCTCCAGTTCCCGGCAGAGGAAGCTTGCAGGCCGCGCATCGCCGAGTCTGTGTGGCACTGACCCCCTTCATCCACGCACTCTCTCCAGCCTCTGCGTTCAGCCTCAGGATCTCCTCTGCTGCTGCGGCTGCTGCTCCCGGCTCCTCTGTCCCAGTCCTTCTCTCTCTCGTGTGTGTGTGTGTGTGTGTGTGTGTGTGTGTGTGTGTGTGTGTGTGTGTTCACACACGCGTTACAGTACTTGGAGTGAGGTGGGGGGTGGGATTGCCTCAATTTGCAGGCAGAGAACAGAAAGTAGGGGAGAAAGAAAAAGTGCAGATGGAGGAGAGAGAAAGAACAGGGGGGGGAGAGAGAGAGAGAGGAGATGTGCTGTTTAATCAATCACCCTGCCGCGGCTGTTGTGAAATAAAAAAGACCAGGAATACGTTTGAAAAAAACTTCAACGCAGGAGCTTCTGTGGAGCGGGGGTCCGGGGGGGCTCCAGGGCTGGGCTCAAGATATCCATGCAGTTTTAAATAGCAAGGTTATCAAACACTTGCGCATCATCCGCGGAATAATTGAGATGGCAGCGATGAATTTATGAAGCGTCATAATGCACATCTCTGAGCTGCAGCGGGAGCAGAATTTCACAGGCGCAAAATCTGGACAAATGCCTCTAATTCCCACTCGTCAGATCTCCCACCAGCCCGGGAGACAAGACTTGAGTGTCAGGGTAGCTCAAATGTTATTTGCTCAAATGTCATCTGCTTAGACTTGTCATCGGAAAGAGGCCACCTTGATGATTGAAGAAGTAGTCGCAGTAATTAGTGGCTGGAGTTGGCTTATTGATTGGGAGGCTTTGATGGGTAAATTAGTGTTCAGCTCTCCTTTGGCCTTAGTACTCTAGGGAGAACCTGCCTGTTGAGTACAATTTAAAAAAAATCTTCATTGAAGTGGTGCCTTTTCTTCATTCTGAGCACTGTGCTTTTCCACCCTGCTTCTGCGGGGAAGTCCAACAGACGAGGGGCACGTGTGCTGCTTTTTTCTCTGCGTTAGTTAAACACCTCCTCCAGATACCAGGGAGCTGAGAGGCAGTTCGAACTGGTAGCGTGGGAAAGGATATCGATCATCTCACTCTGTCACTCCATTGCGACCTGGAAACGTTCAAGACTCGTCCATCCTTTTGCCCTAATCAGACAAAGGCCAATATTAATCTGAGCACAGCGGGGCGCAGAATGACTCGCCATCTCCCTGAGCGCTCCCCTCAGTTTGGATGAGTTTGTTTTTCCTTTAAAAGGCACCGACTTCCCCTTTTGTTTCGTTGGTCGTGACTGATCCTGCTGTCAATTTACCCGACACTTGGAATGAACTGACAGGCACCTAAAGAGAGAGAGAGAATGAGTGAGAAAATCCAAAGTCCCTCAAGATCTCAAAGGAAAAATATGCTGAGTCCACGTATCATGAAAAGAAAACCGCAGCATCATCGCACTTTTTAAAAAGCCAATGAATTGAAGAGCTTTTCCTTCCACAGAAAAGCAGTGAATTGGATCTGATTTATGTGCCTGAATAATATTTCCTACAGGTTTGTATGGAACATGACGGATCACACGTTCATTACATTTTCTTTTTCACAGCTAAAATTTCTTACACACAGGACAGGCACCTGAGTTATTAAGAACACGAGGAAGTTCAGCACACCTAACTTGTCTGGTTACGAGTTGATTGGTGATCTGAGAGTCCCGTCCAGCTTCTCCTTCAGTTCTTTGGTTTCTTCTATTACGACAACATTGCCGAGCAGCGTGTAAAAACTGGAACAGACCCCTACTTCCCTCTGTGCAAAGAAGCACCCACTGTTCTCAGTTTAAATGCACTTCCCCATACTTTATGGAGTTTATAACGAAAGTTCGGGAGGGATGACAACAACCAAGTTCAATCAGACTCAGCCGTCAGTAATTAGCAATCGCGTCTGACATCCATTGCTCTTCCAAAACGCTATAAATACCTACGAGATCCCTATCTCCCTCTCTTGCATGTCTCTCGCACCCCATCTCCACCTCTACAGCTCTGGCTGGGAAGTCAGCCCTCAGCCAAGCAGGTTAAGCCAAAATTTCGCTCAACAATCCTTTCATGACATTTTAATCTTGGGTGTTGTCATTTCTAGTGAACCACTTGTGTCCACTGGTTCAGGTGTTTTTTACTGATGCTGCTACTTCCCACCCACATTCATTACAAACCTGTGCTGTACTTGACCACTCTTGGTGCCTTCTTGTTCTTTTCTTGATGAGCTGTTGATGAGTTAAGATTGGAGGTCAAGCCTTCAGTTTGACCAGTGGCTTGAGTTTTTACTCGTTTCTGCATTTTTTGGTAGTTCAGCTCAGCTATGCTTCCCCATAGCTTTATACACAACCAGTTTCGTATTGGTTATCAGTTAGTGCTGTATTTACACAAGTTGGAATGGCATTGTGTCAAATACAGGTAATACGTGCATTCTTATAGACACTATTCCTTATATTTCATCTGGAAACAATGACCCTGTAGAGGTGGAATTGTGAAATCCATTTTCTAGAGAAATGTCAATACCAGTTTATAACATTTGTTTACTATTCAATGGCTAAAACATATTTTAAGGGCAAATATCTCAAATAATCTGTAGGCTAAATTAATCAATTGTCCCCATTACCTGTAAACTTCTTTGAGTGGAGTGTCCAGAAAAGCGCTAGATACAGTAAATCTAAGGAATTATTATTACTTTCAAAGTGAGTGAATATGACATTTCAGAATCAAATGGACAACACAGTAGCATGAGGATAGACTGTCGTTCGGCACTGAACCTGGCTTTCTGCTTCTGTTGCAAGCAGCCAGTGTCCCTTTGCCTGTGTGGAGCCACCATGTGCACAGACTGCAGAGTGACGCTTCCTGGAGAGCAGTGGTACAGCATGTGGCAGAAGAGGAATGGGGGATAGAGCAGTTTATACATCGTCATAGAACATGATCTACAGGGAAAAAAATCAACCAACCTAATATCGTGTATTTCTGCGTATTTCGTAATAAAACCTCTCTGGACGGCCTGTCACTCTACAAGGGGGCTGTAAAGCTTAACAAATACTGACAGCGGCAAGTGATGATTTCATTAATGAATAACTTGGTCGCATATTCAACTTTTTGTTCCGCAACAGAGATCGCATTGAGAATTCCCAGTGCGCTGTGCAAGGCTACACATGGGCTGCAATTCGAATGTGCAAGGGAAGCTGCTGTACTGCCAGTGCGGTCCGTGAAATCACTGCCAGGAGATGACTGCGCACGGAGAATGAGAACACTGTGATCCAGGAGCAGGAGCTGCCTGTTCAGACGTTTGACACTTTTTTTTATAAAACCCTCTGAAGGCTCTGTTCCAGCCTCTATCAATAAAACTCTGCCCTGCCGCCTGCCTCCGGAGAAATTAATGTTCTGCCACTGAAGCAATGTCGCTCGTGAGAAATGTGTTCAAAAACCTACAACAAAATGTCCACCGTCAATGTTGGCAGACGAAATAACGTGGCTTATTTCTGTTACCAAGACCACTGTGGGTTAAGGTTGCAAAGTTGGATTTGAATGAGAAAAGAACAGCTCCTGTCTAAGACTATAATCAGTCTCCCAGCACCCGAGTCTGCCTGCAACGTGCTTGCCTACTTAAGTTGCTTATCCTACTCATAATTCCATACAGATGGAAATGCCAATATCTGCACAAGATGACACCACAACAAAGAAAACAGGTCACTTCAAAGCTCTTCAGATTTACCTGATCCAGCACAGATGGAGTAATACCTGAAAGGATAACAGAATTTTTCTGAGGTACGTCTACAAGATTTATCAAGAGGGAACAGAAGAATTGTTCAGAAGAAAGTGGGTGTAGAAACGGCAAATAACGAAATCTCATGTTGTCTTCTCATCAGCTGAGACCAGAGTGTGTCACCGCAGTGGCTATTAAGAACTACAGAACCCTTAATGTCTCCTTTTCCTCTTGTACTTAGGCAAAGGACCTGACACCCACCCTGCTGCTATCTGATTTAATTTGCTGCAGTAAATGTGCTGGCTGTACCTCGACGTCACCACTGTTCCCAAGGGTGCTGTCCTATGTCCTGCGACATGTCTGTGTTCTGCCGTGTTCAATTCACAGAGTCCGCACGGCCCACAGTGTTCATACAAAGGCGGTTGTTGGCATCACGCATTCCTACTAAAAAGAGCTCCCATCACAATGAAGGGCGAATCACAGACATTCCACATTTTCCGTCTGTTTTCTTGGTTTTCTCTGTTCACTTAGCTGGGTCCTGGATATCTTCAGAAGATACTGAACCCCCCCCCCCTCACAAAATGTGTCCATTACAGGGAGACAATAAGCCTTCGAAATCGCCCCAGCACCATTCCCCACAACCTGACGCAACAGCACTGTATTTCACTGTGAAGCCCTGAGAGAGACTGTACAATTTTGCAATGAAATACTGTAGAGTTTCATATTTGATCTAAAAGTGTGCCCTATCTGTACAGGCCTCCCGGGGCTACGAGTGACTCTGTTCCATAATAACCAGTGTGTGGGCTTTAAGAAACGGGAGCTCAGCAAAATGTTTTCGTCTAATCCCTGCCATCCCCACCTCCCCGACCGTAAAATAAACCCGGCAGCACCACGAAACGTTCAAAACCTTCGACTGCTGAAACTGCCAAGGTTAAATGCCAGTAAAGTTCACTTAAGCCCTCGTTTAAATTAATTAAAACAGATTTCACCCCCTTTCCCTTGTTTTCTGAGCGGGCATCCATCAGGCATTTGTTTGTGGCAGCTATGTCTGTTTTAAACCTTCACTGGGTTGTTTGTTTCCTTTTAAACACACTTTCCCAGTATTACCCATGCACCCTGATTCCCAAAACTCTTTGAACCACAACCGCCCCTGTGGATTGCATGTCTAATAGCGCACTTAAAGTACCAGAATGCCCTTCATTCGGGAATAATGGTAAACTAACATTTTACCCTGCAGCTCAGCAATTCATCTCTTGCCTGACGTGATCTCATTAAGCCCTCGTGTTCTAGCCGATACGAAGCTTCTGAGACGAATGGCGAAGCATCTTCTGACCAGGGCAATTTGGCAGCACGGAGCTATAACGAACCTAAAAGAATCCATTTTGAAAATTGAACTGCCCTCATATTGGTTAATATATATTTCATACCTATGGATGTATGCATATCATACATCCGTCATCCAACAAATATTGACTTAAAAGAGTCTTGAGATAGTTAATCATTGACTCAGCTAAGTATTTTACTGGAATCTGAGACATCTCACTCAAGGGGACAACAGCAGAACCCCAGCCAGGAATCTAACCCACGACCTCTTGGCCATGAGGCCAGAGCCCCTGCCCACTCACCCAGTCTGCTGCAGCAATCCATGTGGATTAACCATTAACGGCAAATCAGGTGATATTTCTATACATGCCTGTACGATCTACCAGGGTGTATCAGTGGAAAAGGTAACAGGAGCTCCACGGAAATACATCTGATTTGTACACAGCGACAGGTCCAACCTGTGACAAGGCCATGATGCAGGTCCCCTCTTCCATGGTTTTCAAACCTGTAGAGGCAAAAGTCCCACCATCACAACTGGGCAGTACATATCTGTAGCCAAGGTCTGAGAGCCTGCAGGAACACGGCTGCTTCAAGATTTCATTTCATTGTCCATCCAAAAGGGTGGAAATTGGTCTTCGGCATCATCACACACTCTACAAAAAACAACACTCAACATAAAATAAATACACTTTAGAAACAAACAATAGTCCTAGGCATGCAACAATACATATACGCACACACCTTGTAATCCATATTACACTACCAGCCAACTAAATTTGGAAAGAATGCCTTTCATAACAGCCCCTGATACAGTTCATGTAAAAATGTTTTATACTGGCTGCTTCTCTCCAGAAGTTGTGTATTTTTCTCTGACGCAGAAGCCTCACGATAACAGACATCCACTGTTAAACTTATTCCAGCTCACCTGGTAGTTCTGCACACTGCTAATTAAAAGACATGTTATTTTTAAAGATTATTTGAGGATTAAAGATTACTTTATTCAAGAACGTAATGTGTCAAAAATATTTATTCTAGAAAGTTACAGTAAGTCAGGGACTTACAGCTTTGAAACCTATTGTTCATCAACCAAAAACACATGATTTTGAGCACAAATCTTCACAAGAACAAGAAATACGTATTGATGAGAGTGGAAAGCATATTTAGAATAAAGGGAGTCTTTAAAAACATGAACATAAACCATGAAACTGTGTTTGAAATAATGCAGTATTGCACGTTGTATCGTTATTTTTTTTATTTTCTAGCAGTGTTTAGGGAAAACTACCTAATACCACTGACACAGACCTGAATCTGGGCAGAGAAGACCTCAAAGACTGGAAATATGTAGAAATTATAGGATATGTGAAAACTAAAAAGAGTTTGGATCTTGAAACAGATGACATACTAAAACACCAGCCTCTCTTTCATCACCTCTCTCTCTTTTCTCATCTCCTTCTTAATAACATATGTCTGTATGGAGGCACATACGTGACCTGAATTTCTTATTGGGGTGCGTTGCCGAAACTCACTTTTTAACTCAATACTCTCCTTCTCCTTTTCAGAACCTGTGCAGCAGTAACAGACCATGAAAGTGGATGCTAGAAGCCGGCAAACCCAACACCTTCACCTTTCAAATTCTTCTAGAGACACATGTGGCCCCAGAAGACCACTGGGTACAGGGCTCATTCAAGGGAAGAAAATCCCTGCAGAAAGGCTGTGTGCAAACTTGAGAGAAACTGAAACCTTGCTGGTAAAGCTAGTTTTGGTCTTTTACGTTACAAGAAGACGGTGGCGAGTATTCTGCCCTTGTGTTGAACTGTGCTAATTTTGTGACCTCTTCTCCTTCTCAATGTTTTTTCTCTCAGTAAAAGCTTTCTCTTTTTTCTCCAGTAGCAGTAGTACTATACCACCTCTGAACGCTACACAGTAAATGCAATGCCACTGGCAGTGTGACAGTCTCTGGCCATCTCAACCATTGATGACATTTCCTTGAGGTCATGGGATAACAGCACTGGAAAATCACTGGAAATTAGGAGTGATCCTCTGCATCCCCCTCTGTACAGCTCTCTCTTCACTGTCCCCACATACCTCAGATTAAAAAAGTTCTTACTGAAAATCTAAACAGAGTGCTGTACTTGTCTCCTGTTTTTCAAACCACATAGCTGCCAGCTTTCAAACTGAATAAAACCATGCTGCGCCTGTAGTCGGTCAGTCCCTGGTTAAGTTAAATGGAACTTTATGGCCTTTTCTCCTTTATCATTCCACAAACATTAGCATAACACAGCCGGAGGCTCCATCTGAATTTCTGCCCAGGTTCCTTACCTGTAGCACGTGGCAAAACTTGGCTACTTTACAAAGTCTTTATTTCATTATTTTGACAAGATACCAGCCCAAAGTCACTAAACAGTTATCTGTTGTTTAATCTCAACCTCACCGCATCCACCCTTGAGATGGACAGGGGCATCAGAGGAAAACCACAGCAGTTCTTGAAGCTGGCTGTCATGCGTTTGTGGCGTAAACATCAAGATGATTGATAGGGAGCAGCGATGCGCGTATAAATATTGCTAAAACTGGTTCAAAGCCACTTTGGGGCCTTATAAAAGCCACAGCTACTCAGTACTCTGACTCTGCACTTCTGGAAACTCAGGTGAAACACATCTATTTATTTTCCTGGCCGGGACAGACCCAGTGACCAAACCAGCTCACAGAGGCTCAAGGAGGAGAGAAGTAACTTCTGCTGCTGCCACTTTTGTGTCCTTGACATTATCTGTTTGGGTTTGTTTTTTTTAAAAAAAAGGTAAACCAATTTCTGAATTTTAATGACGTTTGCGTTGGGTTCATTAGAAGCCAGACTTCTAGTTTAGCTCGGGACCTGATCTGTAAAATATCCCTCTGTTTTTGCACAAAGTGTTTTGAGTTTTTAAATGACTTACGGGGATTTTTAAGGCTGCCAGTAAGAGATGCAAAGCTAAACATAGAATTCAAAACAGGAGATTCTTCCTTGAGTGCTATGACAAAATATCATACATTGTTTTTCAGTCAGTGCCTTACTTGACTTTCAGTGGTGTATTATATGCTATTATGATAGTATATAAAGTATATTATAATATTGGTGCAACAGAATGGTGTTGTATTGTTTAATTTCAATACATTCATGATCATCAGAATTAATTTATGATGTATATGCTAAACCTTTGGGAGGGATTTCTGTAGTCACTACAGCTGATCTCACAGATGTGTGTGTTGACCCTATAGTGGAAAACACCCTTACTGCCGTGGTCTAGAAGAATCCTGAAGGATGCACAGGCTAATCCAGAGGTTTTTTTGGAAACAGAAAAGGATTCATGTACCATACATTTCAAAAAGTGATCTAAGAGGACAGTAGTGTTGTCTGTTCAGCAGCTTTACAATGTACCCACTAGTCTTTTTGTTTAATCACACCTATCTGTTACTCTAAATACATTCTTGTGTAAGTGTGTTGTATGTAAAAAACAGAATCCAGGCTTTTTATCCCTTTTCTTTCAAGAGACTAGTGTCTTCTTGAGCAAGGATTTTACAGAAGTAAGTGAGGCAATTTGGGATTTTGCATCCAAGGTAGGTAGCTGAGTAGGTGGCCAAATCAAAATCATTTAAGTGTGCACAAAAGCAGAGGAACGTGTATTGGAGAAGAAGGACAAGTACCCAATGTGGAAAAGTAATGTGACTTAGAGAGGACATGAAAGTATAGGTTTTTCCAGTAAGATGAGCTGGAACAAGACGTACTGTACGTGAAAGATCTTAGCTTTTTAAACTGAGATAAAGAGATAAAGCAGGTTAAACATTTCACTTTGGCTACATACACGCTGAAAGTGCGTGTTCACCAGTGCTTTTATATTTGGATATAAAGTAGTCGCGTTTCTTCAAAAATGACGCACTTACCTCCCACCTGCTAAAACAACAAAAAGAGCTCTTGTACAGAGCGGGTATAGAAACATCCTGGAAAACAAAGGTCCTGCCGTTCGTATACAGATGATTGAGTCTGAAAGCTTGGACCCACAACTTCACTCTGTCTTTCAATGTGGGATTCTGTAAGAACTGGTGAAGGAAAGATTTGTGCGCTGTCTGAGTCTGTGCTAAAACGTGCTGTATTCAAGATCAAGTCAAAAATTGATTCTGTTATTTTAGTTTAGATCACTAGCCCACACTATTCTATTCAATTTGTGATCCTATTATAAAACACGGATTTAAAGCAAACAAATAAACAGGAACTTAAGCATTCATTACAGATTTCCGACAGCCTACTGCAATCCCACAAATTCAAATAAAAGCTTCCAATTAATGTTACAATAACAGATTAAACAGAAGATAAGAATGCAATGGTTTTAGTAGGCAGTATTAACTCCCACAGGGCAAATTCCTTTGACTACCATTGTAAGAGCACACAGTGAGAACTGCTGGCAAAGTTATGCAGTGGCAGACCTGATGCTTTGATCTGGGTAAATAAAATCTTTAGAGTATCTGTGTTGTACCCAGTCTTGGGGTTGACACTCTCCTGCAAGCCTGGTGTTTTGCCATGCATCCCAAATACAGTATGTCTTCCATTCCATTAACGACTCAAGTCGCAAGGACTTACAAAGGTTATACAGTACCATTCATCCAGTCTTGTGACTTAATTTGCAACCATGCCAATTAGCACCCACCAACTGGCACTCATTAATTCGTGCCCTGAACAGTGATTCAGTAATGCCAGCTCTGCATTCAGAAGAACTTTTTTCTGATGCAGTTTGCAGTCTAACTGGGGTTGAATCTTCAAGATCATAACCTCCCAGTCAGAATTGGATGCAACTAACATCTCTTTCATATTTTTATAGAAAAATGAAGCCACTGACATGAAAACTCTAAAGAGCAACTATTGGCAACAGCTCCTTCTGTGCCTCCGTTTTCTAGCATTTGTTGTAAAGAAATGGGCTGAACCCAGTTTATCCATTTCAGTAGAGAAATGTTGCAGACAATGTTGGCAGAACCATTGAGAAAATATCCAGACGTTTCTGCTGCTCAGGCTAACTGAGGTCTGGCCTAAAATACAGCCAAATTAGTTATTTGGTTTAAAGAACAACAATAAAAAAATCAAATGATATGAACACGCTGAAGAAGCAGGAAGGCTGTTTTCAGACTTGAAAGTCAGCCTCATAAACGTCGCCCGAGGTCATTTTCCTTCTGAATTCTCTCACAGGAAATTAATTGCTTGTGAAACGCAATCGACAGACTCTGTCGATGAGTTGGTCTGGTCGGGTTGATGGAACTACGGAATAATAAAAGACACATCTAGGCATCGCAATATGGGTGTAATTTCTTTCCATGAAATGCGATGTGTCAGAAGGTAAAGGAAAGAAAGGGGATTTACGGGAGATCTATTTTATTCCTTTATTCCTTGTACAGCTTGTTTTATTAAGCCTTGTACAGAAAAAAAGGTAAGAAAACTCAAGTAACTGCAATTACCACATCGTCCTTTTACAGGCTTAATGAGTGCAAGGTTTTCTAGCTTGGCACTTTGAGGCCTTTGACAGAATTGTAAAGTATGTTTCGACCTACTTCTGCTGCTAATCTCCTCAGAAATACGTCAACTGCCCAGTCTGATCCCAAGGTGCTGCGCTGTTCTCACCTGTGTGCTGCCAAGAAATGTAGATCTGGGAAACACACTGGAGTAGGTGGGGTGCTTGCGATCACGGAGATGGTGAAAAGGAGGGAGGGCGCATTTGCTGGATTCTGGTCTGAAGTCCACGCGGCTGATGGGATTCATTTTAAACGAGGTCCGTCTTTCGGTGCCGGGGCATTTAAACTGCGGCATGTGCCCTGGATTAGAGGAATTTCACTGGGGATTAAAATATGCAGCACATGCAGCACCCCTGATTGGGGGCAAGAAACCGAGAAGCCCTAGCAAATTAAATCAGTCGCTGGAGAGAGCTGCTGAGTGGTTCTCAGGCAGCAGGTATGTGAAAATGCTTCAATATTCGCTTTTACCCTAGCTCACCAAATAACGCTGATCTGTGTTTTTCTGTTTCTGTAGAACGCTCGTGAAAGTTGCACTCTTTTTTTGTTGTTGTTGCTGTTGTTGCTGTAAAAATAACTCTGACCCCACAGTACTTCAGTTTAAAACCTCCTGAACAGGTCAGGGAAAGAACAGCCCAGTTTAATTCTATAACGGGTTTTGCCTCATTAGTTTTATGTGAAGTTCAGTGACCTGCGCTCTAGTTTCACTTAGGGTTTAATTTTAATTTAAACTCATGGTCACAATGCTCAGGAAATACCTCTCTGGCACTTTTTTTGTGTTTCAAGAATTCTTACAGCATAATACTTTACTTGTGCGTAACGTCCGGCTGTTAAGAGGCTCGATTGCGTTATGTCATTATCAAAAGGCAACTTTTAGCTTCCCACCAAAAGACCGTTGAGTATTTAAGATGAGGCATCGTCTCTTGCTTTTCATCGTTAAGTGCATGTCTTTTGATAAATTCCACAATAAAATAGCCTGAACAAGAGTAAAATCAAGTTATTTTTCAGTTTGTGAATCTGCAGAATATTTTCTACACAATACACATTTAAACATTACTTTGGGAAAACAAGTTGATGTCTGATCAAATAATATTGGCTTGCACAACCTCATGGAAATAATGTGAGATGCCATGATTTTCCACATTGTCGTTTATTAAAGTAAAATCAGATGGCAGTGGTGTTTAATCCAAATAACCTCAGGGCTCTTTCAGTTAAATATAAAAACAAATAGCACAACCATTCATAACACCAGAAGTTCTGATTGATTTTAAATTAAAAAAGCACTGCATCAATGAAAAAGCTTACTGGAGTAATCTGAATGCAGGCAAGACAGGATGTATGTAGTTCTTTATCAGTAAAAAGTGTTATATCCCTTATTCTTTTATAGTGTAAGGCATCGGGAAAGAATACAGCCAAATTCCTTGGCACCAAACTTCCCACTTTCCATCCATCCATTTTCTAACTGCTTCTTCTAGTTCAGGGTTGCAGGGGGAGCCACAGTCTATCTCGGCAAGCAACAGGTGCATGGCAGGGTACACCCTGGGTGGGACAACAGTCCATCACACAGGGTAGACACAAAGATACAGACACGTACAAACACTCATACCAGGGCCAATTTTCCCTGTAGACAATTAACTTAGCTGTATGTTTTTGGACTGTGGGAGGAAACCTATGTGAACACAGGGAGAACATATGAACTCCAAATACCACCCCAGGACCAGAATGGAACCCAGAACCCCGCACTGCGAGGCAGCAATGCTAAGCCATGCGCCGCCGTGCCACCCTACTTCTCATTCCGATGTGATGAAAATGCACTGGACCTCACCTGCCACCTCTCTTCTGCTTCTTAGGCCGAGACCCCTCCCAGGCTAAGGATGCTCCGGTATTTCCAGAAGTGCTTGCGCAAGCAGCTGGCTGAGCACCAGGTCAGGAAAACCAGGCTGGTGTCCAAGGATGGGCGCTGCAACATCGAGTTCGGCAACGTGGAGTACCACAGCCACTTTGCCCTACTCAAGGACTTCTGGAACACGATTGTAGAGATCCGCTGGAGGTACGTGCTGTTCATCTTCGTGGCGTCCTTCACCGGCAGCTGGTTCCTCTTTGGGTTGCTTTGGTACGGAATCGCCATGAGTAACGGGGACCTCACGGAGCAGAATCCCCCCAGTAATCATACCCCCTGCGTGATTAACGTCTACGGCCTCACCACCGCTTTCCTCTTCTCTCTGGAAACCCAGACGACCATTGGATATGGCTACCGAGCGACTACAGATCACTGCGCCCTGGCAGTCACACTCGTCATCATCCAGGCGGTTGTAGGCGCGATCATCAACTGCTTTATGTGCGGCATTATCTTGTCAAAGATATCCCTTCCCAAAAAGAGAGCCAAGACCATCAACTTCAGCCGCACAGCCGTCATCAGCAAAAAAGCGGGCAAGCTGTGCCTCCTCATCCGTGTGGCCAATCTGAGGAAGACCCTCCTCATCGGGAGCCAGATTTATGGCAAGCTTCTCCGGACCACCGTAACTCCTGAAGGGGAGACTGTGATCTTGGACCAAGTGAACATCGATTTTATGGTGGACGCCGGCAAAGACAACCTGTTCTTCGTCTGCCCCCTTACCCTCTACCACGTCATTGACAAGACCAGCCCGTTCTTCGAAATGTCCGAGGACACCATCTCCAAGCAGGACTTCGAGCTGGTGGTCTTCTTGGACGGAACAGCGGAGAACACGAGCTCCACCTGCCAAGTGAGAACTTCCTTCATCCCCATGGAGATCCAGTGGGGCTACAGCTTCCTGCCCATCGTCTCTCGCACCAAGGAAGGAAAGTATCGCGTGGACTTCTCCAACTTCCACAAGACCGCGCTGGTTCCCACACCTCACTGTGCCTACTGCCTCGACAATGGGGACCGGCACAGCACCGGCGGGAAGAAAGGCATCGACAACCCCGGGTTCGAAGCGATCGTCGTCAGTGAGGCGGCGGCTGCCACGAAGATGTGAAATGCAGCCCCCAGGGCGGGGGGAGGGGGTCAGGACCGAAACAAATTGAAGCTTGAGGTGGACCCAAAGTGCTGGGAATAGACGGAACTGAACTTCCAGCACAGCCCCGGACTCTCCAGAGGAAGTGAACCTGAGACACCTTTCACGAATGTCTGTCAGCATCGAGGTCTTGGCTGTGGGATTTGACATGCGAATGTAGAGCCCACCTGAATGGATGCAGGTGGCCTGATAGAGACATATGTGTGTTTATGTGTGATTAGGGCAGGCTTGGGGTGGTAGTGTTCATTACATAGAATTTAGATCAGATTTTAAGTTACCATTTCTGCACAAAATAAAGTGTTCTGTGCTAATGAAGTGGAGTACTTAATTATTATAGCAGTCTGGAGACTTATTAAAATAAAGAAGCCTTGTGAATTTTCATTGCTCAAGAAACAGACACATTGCCATGCATGCTAAAAACGCAGAGACGATCTGATTTCATTCACGCACAGTGCCGTCATTCACAGCAGGTACTGTACGCTAACTGTGTTGTTCTATATTGTAAAATCTAGGTTTGTCTATGGAGATAATTCATCCGGTCTCTCTGTCTTTTCTGATTCCAAAACAGCTTGCAAGTCGCCTTGACAACCAGAGTAAAATGTGTAAAAACTACAGCAGGAAAGGGAAAAAAACAGGACACTTAACTAAATCAATGCTTTTCAAGTCTGAGAAATCTGAAGGTTAAATCGGAAGGGATTAGGATTTAAGTCCTTTTTTATGAAATATTTAAGACAGCTGGAGAGGTAACAAAAGGTTTGATTAAGAGATTTATTCTTAACCAGCTGGATGGTAAAACAGAGCTTTATTTTTCTACTTTAAAAAAAAGATTGAAAAAGGAATCAGCAATAATAATAACAACATAAATGTACATGTAAACAGCATTTATTCAGATTGTGAAAAGCTGATTTTCTTTTTCCATTTGGAGGAACCCTGAAACCTCTGATCTTTTCCTGAATAGTTTAAAGTGTATATATTTCAATAAAATGAATTAGAGCAAAACATGGTTCTTTACCTGGTCTAGGAAGGGCTTTTTCATCAGGAAGAATCATGAATATGTGATCATGCATGATCAAAAAATCAAAAGCATATTTTCTGTTCTGAGCCTTTTTTGTTCATCTTATTTAAATTGTCATCATTAATCCATTGCAAAAGAATGATCTTTACACTGCTTTGTATTTAATGTATCTTTATATATGAGATTAAAATGTCATTTATTTTTCTGATACAAATAAGGAGTAGGTACAGAGCTGTAAATAGCAATGTTAGTGTAGCAACACAATATTAAACCAGGTAAACTCAGACCAATGTGCGGGTGAATTCTTTCAATCCTGTAATTAGTATAAGAAGCCAGTATAACCTACAAAATGATTTGCTTTTGACTACTTGGGGATTTCTCAAGCATAAATCAAGAATATCTCTTCTTGGAAATCCCTATGACCATGAGAGTAATCCTCAACTGGTACAGAAGCTGTCCCTAAACGTGATTTTTCTAAATCAGACAAACTCTTTTATTCTCATTAACCTTTCCCAGAGATTTTTGACGTCCAGTGTGGTAAAAAAAAAACACCAAGCAGAAATTGAGACAGGGCACACTGACTGGCCTTTCTGGTGCACTTTTTCCTGTTATGTTCCTACAAGCGATTTGACCATGAATTACGATTGAGAAACAGATGAGCAACTGCGTATAAAGTTATCAAGGGTCTTGGCAGATCCTCCATCTGCAACTGTGCATTATTTACATTAAAACTTGATTGAGGAAACCAAAAACAAAACAATGTCTTAGAAAAGTTAAACCCCCATATCCGTCCCCCACCATACACACATGAGTTTTCACAGCAAACCTGAGACACCAGCTGCACAGTTGCCCTGCAGCTCCGTCAAGACTATCCTCACCTGCATGTGCACAATGCTAAGCTCCAGGTGTCTTCAGGGAGGAAGTGTTATGTAATGTTATGTGTTATGTGTTATGTTATGTAATTAGTCACACTTACATAGCACTTTTCTGGACACTCCACTCGAAGAACTTGACAGGTAATGGGACTCTCCTCCTCCACCACCAGTGTGCAGCCCCACCTGGATGGGAAGTTGCACCGGTACTCTCACCACACACCAGCTCTGAGGGGGGAGGAGAACAGAGTAATGAAGTCGGGTCAGAGATGGGGATGATTAGGGGGCCATGACTGGTAAAGAACAGGGGGAAATTTGGCCAGGACACCAGGGTAACACCCCTAGTCTTTTCGAAAAACCCTGGGATTTTTAATGACCACAGAAATCCAGGACCTCGGTTTTACATCTCATTCAAAGGGTGCCGCCTCTTTACAGTAAAGTGTCTCCGTCACTATACTGGGGCATTAGGACCCACACAGACCACAGGGTGAGCGCCCCCTACCTGTCCCACTAATACCACTTCCAGCAACAACCTTTAGCTTTCCCAGGAGGTCTCCCAGACAGGTACGGGCCAGGCTCACACCTGCTGAGGTACAGTAGGTGACAAGTGATGAGTTGCGGGGTGAAATAGCTACTGGTGTGACTGGCTGACATGAGCCAAACCTGCTATTGCTGAGGCCTGGAGATCACTGTGATGCATTAGAGAGCATGCCCACTACTCCACTTCAGTGGGCAATATCACTGTGGCATGCAGAGATCATACCAAATGATCCTCTTTGAGAGCATTCGGGGTTATTGTGGTTCTTGTCTAGAAAAGTCCTGGCACCCTTAAAAAAACTAAACTTGCAAGACATTTCCTCAGACTCTCTGTGGTCATTTAAAATCCCAGGGCGTTTCTCGAAAAGAGTAGGGGTGTAACCCCGGCGTCCTGGCCAAATTTCCCATTGGCCCTTACCAATCATGGCCTCCTAATAATCCCCCTCCATGAATTGGCTACATTACTCTGCTCTCCTCCCCACTGATAGCTGATGTGTGGTGAGCGTTCTGGCGCACTATGGCTGCCGTCACATCATCCAGGTGGGGCTGCACATTGGTGGTTGTGGAGAGGATCCTCATTACCTGTAAAGTGCTTTGAGTGGAGTGTCCAGAAAAGCGCTATATAAGTGTAAGCAATTATTATTATTATTATTAACGTATACAAGGGTCTGTTCCCTTGTTTGTCATTTGCATTCTGAAGATTAGGAAAATTTGTGTTCGTCTCAGACTGCGAACTGGCCGAGACACCAGGGCCGCGAGACTTGATCGGAATGATCGGATCCCATCAATCAACACACCTGATCAGCAGCACGGCGGCGGGCGGGCAAAAGCTTGTGAACAAAACTCGGGGTTTCCCCGCAATTGGATAGAGGCCAGGGGGGACGCCTGCCCAGAGTACCGTGTGAGCGCCGATAACCTGTTCACAGAGATCCATGATGAGACACTGTTTCGGAGAGGAGCGGACCACAGGCTGATTTGCCAGCCGGCAGCCGCGATGGTACGTTAAGTCTCATTGGGAGCGAATCTCCCCCATTTGCATAAGGTCGAGTTTGAAAAAGCGAAGTAACGATTGTAAAACGTTAAACTTGCTGTCAAGACTCGCGTGAATTCCGTTAATTAACCGTTCGTTCGAGAATAAAAGAAACCAGAAACACAACTAGCATGCGATCGCAATTTTCAACCGCATATCTCACGTCTTAAGAGTTTTGGACCTTTGAGAGCTACAGTACGTTAGTAATGAACATAGAAAAAAACGCAGTTTGCTTGCAGGTGAATCATCGGTTCACAGACAAATACGAAGTCTCTTTTGTGGCTTGCCATTTAAATTTCAAAGTGAAAAAACGACTTACTGCCTCAATTAGCGCAAAAAAAAAGTATCAAGGTTTTTTTTCACATTTTTGATGACTCGTGTATAATGAAACTAGTTGTTATGAATAGCTATTATCCTCCATACTGTAGGTCTTGTTCGGGATAATATTGTTTAGCTACAATAATGAGTTAACTAGTTCGTTCTCCAGCTAGTACAGTAATGTAGCCGTTAGATAGCCAGGGGAGTAGGTTACCACCTGGCCTACGTACAGTATTTTCCTCCGGGAAACCCGGACACTAGATTTAGACCTGTACATTAACTAGAACTCAGTCCTAAAATAAAAGAACATGAAATGGGGGAAAAAAAGCACTTCTCTGGGATTCACAAAGTCCCGTGGTCCTTATCTGGAAACCTTATCGAGACGAGCACGCATTCGGGGAATTATTTAAAACCTGTTTTAACTTGCCACTTTATTCAGAACTACAAGGGGTTTCAAAATTGTTAAAACCTTTATGCGGAAATGTATTGTTAGTTTTATCGCTTCACGAGATGATGCAGTCTAAAAAACGAAGTTATGGTGTGTGTACTAGAAAGAATGAGCCCACAATTATTCCTGCGTGTAAAGTAATTGTATTCTTATTGGTTACACATTTACCGAAACACTCTGCATTCAAATATACGCTGAAAAAGCTCCGTGAAGATGCCCCCCTACAAATCGACACACAACGAAACCCACCGCGTTCGTTAGTGCTGCGTTTGTGCCGGTGTGTGACTTTGTAAGGTGCGTTTGTGCTGCTTTTCTTTCCGAGATACAGCGCCTTATTTATTCGGGGGTGTGAGGTCACTCTGCCCCCCCTACAACGGCGTCTGAGTAACGAACAGGTCTGATTAGTTAGTGCCGTTGAAACGTTCCCGAGATATAGCGCCTTCTTTCTCGAGTGATCCTTGTCCGGCGACTGTGCCCGCTCTAACCCCACTGGAAGTTCAAGAACTAAATTACTGGATGCGAGGATAAGAATATCTGCAATTTTGTTTCTCTGTTTGCCGGGGGAACGGTAGCTTTTACATTTATTACCAGTATTTTCTGTGCCTTTGTGTGAACAGGAAAATTAAGTTGGACTCCCAATATCATACTGTAATCACAGGAGGTGCGGGTTTAGCCTTAAAAAGCGAACAGTTGCATGTTCTTAAAAAAGGCTTTAACGAGCACGTCTTATTTTTTCCTAGCCGTGTCAGTATTTTTTGTAATCTGAAGAAGTAATCAGTTTCACATTTTGTCCGTTTTAAATATGCAAATCAAGGGCCATTTAAAGATTCGACCCGTCTTTCGACCCACATTTTTAAAAAATATCAGAATTATTAACTTCCTGTGTTCGTTGTTGTAATATCTTTTTTTTTTCAAATTCAATATCAAATTCGGAAATGTGAAAAAAAAACAGGTAGCACTATGTACTACGTTGACCTAGGTAGCTCATGACAGATCTGCAAAACAACTTTGGAAACTCTTACTGTCTCACACAGGCGGACCTCGGAAGTATTTTAAAATATTTTTATTTTCATATAAAATAATTTAACACATATCCGTGTTTTAAAAACGTCTTTATCCATATTTTTGTATGGAAGATGTGATCAGATAAACTTATTCTTCATTCATCCCTAGGGATTCAAATCATGAATAGTAAAAGGTCAGATATTAACGTCAACCTTGCAATGGGCGCAAAGCCGCTACTTAAATACAAAGACGCAACACAGGTGCCAGAACCAGTTTTAATGGAGACCAATTGAAGGCTGATACAAGATTAATCACACCTGACTTTTAATTAGTTGGAAATAACTAAAACACGGACTGGATCCTGGAGTTGGCCGTCTCCGCTCTGAACACACAGTCTTTCAAAGACGAGTCATTTGGAGTACAATCCCACTCCATACTTTTAAATGAGCCGCTGATTAAGTAACCGTGAAACTTTAACTTGACATTGACGAATTGATTTCAACTCAATTTACAGATAATTAATTCACCCAAAGGGATTCAGAACATGAATAGTAAAAGGTTAGAAATTAGCGTCAACCTTGCGCCAGAAACAGTTTCATAATTCCCGTCTTTTACAGTAGCTTTGAATAATGGAGTACGAATTTTACTGCTGCTGTCTGACAGCCAGTCTCACCTGTGATTACTGTACTGTACATCACTCATTGACAGTGGTACCCCCACCTTTCACTGCATAACCTGTGTGTACGGTGTATGACACTAAACGTATATAATACAGTATACGGAACCTTGTCAAAAGCCCGTGGAAATATAAATGGATCATGTTGTGACAACTATTAGTATAAAGGAACTAAAGGGCTACTCTACCCAAACACCAGCTGGGGTATAAAACATTTAGATTAATTGAATCGCTCGTTTGTTTTAGAAAACAGTTGTTTTAGAATCATTTCAGACGTATTGTTAAAAGAATAAAAGAAACATCAACATCTTAACCTGTCAGGCTTCTCGTCTGACACACGACATACAGGCTCCTCCAACTCTACTGCACATTGTGATACTTTGTTTTTCACTATTATTAGAAAAGATAAGCAAGTCGTGACCAGTTGCACAAAAAGGCTAGAAAAATACATTACAACGGCGTCTCATTAGCCTTAAGGCTTGAACCGCCTCGTCTCGGAAGTGTGACTTGGCTTAAGACTGAATAAGAGAGTCACATGGGCGGTCTTCAGCGTGGCCGGCCTGGTGGCTCCGTGGGCTAACCCATCGGGCACTTTCTAAAGTCCAGACAATTGGATCGACTCCCAGAGACGCTGGGGAGTTAAAGACGAGCCCCGAGCCTCCCCGTCAGTCTGAGATCTAAGCCCCGGGTGTAGCTCTCGTGCTGTCGGGGTGAGTTTGTGTAGGTGGCTGTTCTCTACCACGCCGGCCGTTTTGGGGGGTTCCATTTTCGGGGCCCTCCAAAACAGGGAAAATGGGGGGTTTAAGTCCTTTATGAATGAATAGTAATGAACTGAATTCTAAAAAACAGCCCCTTATACCACTGAGACACCTGCAGGACGGGTGTGGCACTAGCAGTGAAAGAGAGGTGCAGTCCTAACTAGGAGCGGCAGGGGTCCCTATCCAGCACATTTCTCTTGATTCGGTCAGCTGGCCGCAAGCTAAACGACCCCGACAAACCTCGTTGGGGGAATGTCGCTGTACTAGGTCGTCCGAAAATTCTTAGCCAATATATACTTTATGTATGATTTGGTGAGCTGAAGTTTCTGTCTCTCCAGTAACGTCAGTGTTGAAGCCCTTGTAACAGAATCCGCAGCTGTCCGTCAGGACCGGAGCCCGCCTCCAGAGTGACCTTCCTCAGCGGACACGCCCCGTCCACCTGTTCCACAGGTGCGCTCGGCAAGATGGCGGCGGGACGAGCTGCTGCTGCTCGAGGTGCGTTTGCGTTTTATTTCGAATTTTCTGATTTTAAGTGCAAAAATTAAATTTAAGTTTTGGGAAATCAAGATGAAAGTATTTTGTTGTTAATTGTATTTGTTTTTCTCTTTTTTTTGTGTTTTAGGACGCCGAAATGAGTGCCCTGTCCGTTTGGGCGTGCTCTGGAAGTTTGAAAAGTTTGTATAAAGTTTCTTATACTATCATTCATTGTACTTTCATTGTATGTTTTTAAAATATGGTATTTCTAGGTGTCTGGGGCTGTAGTTTGTCTTCAAATATTTGCTTTTTAAAGTCCTTAGCTGTGTAATGTCCTTTTGCGGATTGGGGCTATAAGAACGTTTTTCGTTATAACAAAAATTGTCAAGATTAAACTGACTATTACGTTAGCTTTTCATTTCTCCAGGTGCCAAAAGGATTTCAGGAACGGGATACCAGTTATGAAAAAGTGTTTTTTAACGGTAAGGTTTATTCCTACCTTCCGCTATTCTATTAATATTTGTGTAACTTGTTAAGACGACACGTTTTGCCTGCTTTTTCACACATTCTTGCCCGGAACAGACATATTAACTACATTGCTGCTTTTCGTTTCGTTGTGCTTTTGTTGAATGGAAAAGCAAACTCTTAAGAGGCTGGTTCTTCAATGGAATTTAATTCTTATGTGGCTGAACGTATACTCTGGAGTTTTTTGGAGCGGCGGGACAGGGATCTATCTTTGTTTTCTCATTGCTTTTCATCGTGTTTGTATTTATCTTTATTCAAGCACCATGTTTAAAAGTTTCACTTTTATTTAGCACATCAAGTGAATCCATTCTGCAAAGCCCGTATTTTGTTAACTTGGTGTTTTTTCTTTTGTCTTCAGTTCTGCGGCTCCTGATCCTCAGCGCTCAGTCGAAATCGTGTCCACTCCAGCAACTCGTCGTGCATTGGCAAGTTATTCTTGACAATGTTGTATCTTGCTCTTAATAGGGAATGTAGCTGACCAACGTCACGCTGTTGACTGCTGCTACTGTATGTGCTGTGCATTGTGAAATAAAAACCGTT